AGGCGGCCCCGGGTCTGGGATCACCTGATTGATCCACGTATATCCTACCTGCGATCCCGACGGCCCCGCTTCGCTTCCCGAGCTGCAGCGGCTTCTCGCCAGCCACCGCTTCCGCCTCGGGGAAGAGCAGCTCAAAGCGCTTGGCCTCAGGAGCTGCTTGGTCACGAGATGTGATAGCACCACCCAAGGTGTCTTCGACATGAGTTACCACCGTCTTTCACAAAGACGGTCCCTACTTGCAGCCTTTGAGATTGAGTGTCTTTTGAGACAACCCAAGCAACTCTAGAAGATTCAATGTACATTTAGTTAGGAATTCTTAATATTGGATCAACTGATCTTCACATGGCAGTGTCTCCTGAGGCCTCCATATTTGATATAACTCGGAAATACCTATGCGTGAAATAAGCGTGTGAAAGTCCCTACCCGTGAAACACAGTCCCTACCCATGACAGAATCGTGAAATGGAGGCCTCATCAGGGGATGAACAACATATATATATATATATGCTGTTACAGCATTCAAGAGAGATAAACTGGTGCTCTATTTATGTATGGTGTCGTGTTTAAAATAGTTTAGCTGTTGAGAATGAAAAAGCCATGGTCTTACGCTGCCTTATAAAACCACACAACCGTGATTGAGCGTGAATGTGGCAACGACGTCAGAGACATGAGTTACCAATGTCTTTGGACTTACTGGGACCAGAAGTGATACTGTTTACCGCTTTTGTTGGAACTCTAAATTTCTCTGGATGAGTGATCCAGGACATCTCTAGAGTGAGATTTGATCAGAAACCGGCTGGTTCGGGTGAGCAAACCATCTATTAAAGCTGTTCAAAACGGGCTATATACATGAACTTTTCCACTTCCATCTTTGGCCAGTTTGCCTAAAGTAACTACATTTTGTCGCCCTTCGGACCAGTCTGGTCGCTTATTCCGCCAAAGCCGCATAAAGCGTCTCCTCAAGCTCTTCTCGGTTGGTGACACCCTCGTGCTTCAGGGTTTTGAGGCCCAGCAAAAAGTTCAGGATCCTCGAGGCGCCAAACGGAGTATTGTCTACCGTAGATCCTACCGTACCCTTCTGCACAGTGGCACTCGTGTTAGATGAGTTGACTCACTGGCTCATCGTCTCACTTAATTAGATAAGTTGACTCACTGCTGCCTTTTCTGTGGCAACTCATCTAAGTTAGTTCCAAGCACTAGCTGCACTAGCTTCAAAGAAAAGCATACCTTGCCCATCCCTATCCTTCGTAGGTGTTGGTATTCGTGGGCTCCTGACTCAGTGGATCGTTCTTTTTGTCGGGTATTCTAACCCACCACCTCTCGTTGGTCGGTTGAGGTGTACAGAACGGAAGCATGGGGGTTCAGTAGCGAGATTGTTTGATGCTAAACATGCATAGAAACATCTATTTTGATTCATTATATAATGAATTATCATGTAGAATGATTAGAATGGGTATAAATGGGTGATTGATGGTGATTGCAAATCCACCTGTGCATCACCTCTCTCGTCATCAAACATATCTTCGACTCCGAGTGTCTGCTGACTTACCGCCGAGCTGTCCGGCTGCCCTGGGGAAGCGTGGCGCTCGGTCGGTTGAAGTGAGTTGTGGCCGAAGTGGCCTTTTTTTCGCAGGTGTTTGCTGAGGGAATAGCATCAGAACCATCGATCGAAATGATTCCAAAGTCCTCCGTCTCATGCTTTTGAATCTTCATGACTCTCTTGTGAGGAGCTCATCCAATGGCGAATTTGGTTTCTTAATTATGAGTGATGACACGGATTCGATACTAAAATAGGTGGAAACTTGAATTCCTAAGTTGCTGAGCATCAATCTGCGGAACAGGTTCTCACCCAGAATGTGGAGTCATGTTTTCTCCGGCGTATTGTAGGTCACCTCCAACTCCGTCATACAGGGACATAATGACGTAATGCAGTCCCACTTTCACCAACATGTCTTGTTGTAGGGGTCTGCTGCGGAAAGAGTGGGAACATGTGCAAAGATTCAGAGCGGGTAGCTTTTCTGATAGGGGAAGGCTTAAGGGCCCCCCCTGTGAAAGACCCTAGGAATAATAAAATATTATTCTGACCCCCCTTGAGTTAGTTCTCAAATATTATTCTGGTAACTGGTTGAGTTCCAGGAAATTTTTTTAGCTTTCTCTATATCTTCATATAAAAAGCATATCAACACAGCGACTCACACAGCAAGAGCAATCTGACATAATCTAACTCATTCTGATGAACCTTTTTTATCATCAAATCGCGGAAATGTCTGATACCGTCTGTAGATCTCTGCGAAATCTAATTTCGAGATCTATAGGAGATCTCATCCCCTTATATATCTCCTTATATATTTTTGTTGTTTCTTGATGTTTCTTGTTTGAGCCTCTCACTCGCGTCCAGCTGCTGACTTCAGATCATCAAACGTCGCAACATGAGTATTCTTGAAAATTATTCCAGGGGGCCCTATGACTAGCCCTTTGATAAAATATTATTCCACAAAAATTTTTCCAAAAAAATTATTCCGCTATCCCACAGGTCCCCTGAAATAATTAAATAAGCCATCCCCTATCTTTTCTGGAGAGTCGTGATTCCTCGTACCACATCACTATCGCCGGCTGATGCAGCAAATGCATGTGCGTCCGACTGAAAGCCTTGCTTGTTGAACCGTCTAAACCAGAAGATCTCAAGAAAGAACATCTCTCTGAAGACACAGTGGCTGAGTCTCTCCGGCTCTCCCCTTTCTGCATGCTGTATCTCTGTTGGTCAGCATGTTGCAGCTTTCATGACACTCACGTCCAGTTCGCAAAGAGTGCCACCTGTTTTCGCCAAGCTTCGTGGCAGGGTATCCTGGCATGGCTGCATCGGGTGGTCCCTCAGGCACTGCATCCCAAAGCCCTTTGGATAGTCAATCTGAAAGATTTCTGTGATCACTATTGCAACACATTACAAATTATTACAACATGGAAGTGACACAGTGAAACTGATGTCTTATTTTTGGAGTGAACCTCCGTTTCAAAACAACATAAAATACACAATAAATCAAAATAAACAATAAATACACAATAAATCACAATAAACAATAAACAGAAGAACAACCTGGATCCAACATGAAGAGATGAGATGATTCCCCTAGTAGTGAATCTCTGGAAGGTGAGGCGTGCCGGGTGACGAGTCCACCCAATGTCCCCCGCCTTCTCTCAAACTAATCCAAGGGTCCCGGATTGCCCTGGTAGATGGCCCTAGTAGATGGCCCTAGGTTGCTTCCTGATTACTGTACGTACTTTTTGGGGGAGGAGAGGTCGCTCCGAGGCTTTGCGTCCAAAGCCATCCAACCTCTTTGATCCAACCTTCCGCTTCACCTCCCTCCCGTACCCTCCTCACATCTTGATCACCTTGTGCCACAAGCGCACCCGGCGCCTCAGGGAGGTTGGGCTCAATGGCACTCACGGGGTCACCACAGGGCGGTCCTCGCGTGCGAGAAAGCGAGAAAGCGATGGCGCGATGGTGGGAACTTGGGAAGTGACTCCGTCTGACTTCACGGTGCTTATGGGAGGCAAAGTCTGGCTTAAGGCACTACCATTACCACTAGTAGCTCGAAGCTACTAGAAACAAGCACTACTACTAGCAACAAGGGCATCGCTAGTAGGGGTGAATGTAAAGATTCCATATATACAAGGGCATGGCTACAGATCGGACTTCGCCCAAGCGGCGCGGATCGCCAAAGAAGTCGGTCACTCTTCTGGAGCGTGACGACCGGTCGTTGAACCCGTTGGGGGGGGCTTTACCACCGGAGACGTGAGATCTCTGGAGACTTGAGACCCGGTTCCAGGACTTTGGCAAAAGGCTGGCAGATCCGCCGCTGGCAGATCTACCACGTGATCATTCGGAAGATAAGGAGGTGCGAAAGAGTCGAAAAGGTCAGCCGCGTCTTGGAAAATAAAAGAACTTTAATATATAGTTAATCAAATGCAAGAGTGAGTGAAAACATGTGAAAGCCCTTTCGCACCATTTGCTTTGTGGTGTGAACAGCATGGGCACTGGGTGTCGTGACCTTGGAACGCTTCTAGCGAAAAATGGGCTACACGTGATCCCAGTTGTTCTATCCTATATAATATCCAGTTAGATATATAACTACGTATATATATAATATATTACACAAGACATTATACTTAATTAATAGAAACTATCATAGAACCCTCACGACCAAGCGCTGGGTATGCTCACAACTCGGGTACAGCTGACCCGAGACCTCAGACGGCGGCCACTCGGTTGGAACCCATCCACCGCGGCCGTCCACCCACTCCTGAGCTTTGTCTGACCAGTGTCTCTGGCTGCATGGCGTCGAACGTCGGCCCACCGTCCCGCCCGGGCCCTTCCCGCGGCCGATGGAGGTCATGGGGAAAGCTGCGGACACTGAGCATCAAAGGACGGTGGGAGAGGATGAGCTGGCGAGCTGCGGGATTCTTCCATGCAGTTCACATCTTCTCACTCTTCACAGTCTTGGACTTCGTGGGAGACTTCGTGCTTTTGGCAGGGGAACACTCTTCAGTTGACTTCGTACGACAAAACGAGCAGGTCACCGTGGTCTTTGCGCGTCATGTGACCCCTTTGGGCCGACTGCGGTGGGTCACGGAGGAGCGACCACATCCTGTTGACCGAAAACCACTGGGCAAACGAGTGGCCTTGATGCCTAGACCCACCCGTCGGGCACAGTTCCCACACCTTGGGCAAACACCGAATTGGTAGTGGTATTTTCGGTGCTCACCGTCTTTAGAGCCTGCTATAGCTCAACATAGCCCAACCCATGTTACACGTAGTTCATACTTCCCTCCCTTTTCGCTGCAGTAAGTAAACCAGGGCCAGGGTCTTCTTTCCGGTTGCTAAACGGACCCTTCATAGAAGCAAAAAACACAGGGCCTGTCTGGTGCAGAGACAGCCGCTTTTTGGAAGGTCGCGGCCAGCAAGCATCCACCCCCCTGGAGCCCAGCCATTGTCCCAGCGGCAAAAGTTGTCGTCGGTCAGAATCATGTCCTTGGCATCCCAAGAAAGACCATGAGCTGAAGTACGGCTCTCCCTGGTAGATTCTTCAACATATGTTGCCTCAAAGGAAATACACCATCCTTGCTACGCCCAAGAAACATGGATGTAGTGTCATGAGTCATGATCCAATTCATAAACATTGCCAAATGTGCTAAAAAGATCTTATACCCCGATGTAGAACATGGAAAATGGCAAGAATGCTTTTGTTTGAAAGTGATGATTATATAAAGATATAAGGAGAGTCCCAAAAAACTTTGAAGAGCAAGCAAAGATCGACTGAATCATACTCAAACCATGGGTGGGAGGGTGGTTCCCTAGGTAACATTCAAACACTAAGGGTGGATACCTTGTCCTTCTCAGCCACACCTGCCCAGCTGGCCTTTTCGGTGGCACCGGTGGCAAAACCGAGCAAAACCGAGCCACACTGGCACCTTTCGCCACCTCTGTGCCCTGGATGCCCATGGCCACGCCAATGTTGGCCTCCGCACGGCGCACCGACGGACATGGAATCAGAACACTTGGAGAATCAGAAGACGAATGACTAAGAACGAAGACTTGTGGTTCCTCAAAATGTGGTTCGATCTGTGGGTGAGTAGCGAACTGAAGCAGGTTGCATTGGTCCCAGCTGGATCCAATGTCAATCACGTTCAGATTTGCAGGGTTCTGAAGCAAGTCTGGTAGATGAGGAAAAGCACACTCCCACTGGCTCTTTTAGGTCTTCAGAGCTTTCAACTGGTGACCAGTTGGAGGTTCCTGACAGTCAAGCAAGGATCACAAACGAACTCAAGCTTTCAGATCTTGATCTCAAGAATCTCAAGCATCTTCACCACTCAGCGGAACCCCCTTGTCACCCCCTCCGTGCCCCCCCCACTCCGCCACGTCGCGTCGTTTACGGGGCGACGCTGCCTGGTTCAAGGCGGGTGCATCATTCACGCCATCGCCCGTCATGGCAGCTACTTGGCCCATGCGTTGGATGGACTTGACAATCTCCTGAGAACTGAGGAGATCACGACAGCGGACCTAGCAGCTCCTCTTCCTGGAAACCCACCGAAGAATCTTGACTGTTGACCCTGTTGACCTTAACCAACCCATCTCACTGAAGTCTTCCTGACTTTCTCACTTCACCACCACATCCCCTGACCTGTCTTCGTTCCTTCCAAGCGGCCAATTTGTCTTCCGGCTTCGCGCGCGCGAAGACCCGCACCGTGGACGTCATGCGGTCCATCTCCTTCGTCTCCAGGTATTGGCCTCCCGTCGGCCCTCTCGTCGGCCCTCCACCGTCACGCTTCCGTGGACCGGTCGACCGTGACCGGGCTACCTCCTATATCCGTTTCGAAGACGGAAGACGGGGGTGGGTGCCAGGGGGACCACCGAACCTGAGGATATGGGGCGTTCGGAGCCCTAGGGTAATGGATTGAGACACTTTTTGGTAAATCATTTATGAATTTAAACAACAAATCAGTCAAATTGGTATTGATTAAAGTTTCGGCTGCACTACACCCCCGTGGTAAGGGGTGGTCAGTGAAAATAGCTGTTGTCATTGTTCATCTTTATCTGTGGAGACCGCGCCAGGCTTCATATTGGTTAAAGGCTCAAAACAAACGCGTCCATCATTATACGCGGGTTGATACTACAAATGGAGCCAGCCAAGGTCTTGTCTTATCGTTTCTTCACTTGAGTTAAAATGGGGAATTCGCTTGACAGCCACCAATGGCCACTTGGTATCTCGGAAGTCGGGATGTGTTTCCCTCCAAACCTTCAGGACAAAAAGGGTTTCTCAGAAACGTGTCTTCAGAAACGCCAAACGCATGGTGACCATGCGTGGTCACAGCACCAACACGGTTGAGATCCACTTGGTCTATTTGAGACCAAATGAAGCAAGTAATGAACAACAAGAAGCTACTAGTAACAAAGGGCATTACTACTAGGAGCAAAGACGCTACTAGTAGCTCCTGGCCGTACTACTAGTAACAAGAAGCTACTAGGAACGAATGAACCAGGAAATGCTTGTTCCTAGTAGTAAGGCCAGGAGCTACTAGTAGCGTCCTTGCTCCTAGTAGCGATGTCCTTTTTGCTAGTAGCTTCTTGTTCCTAGTATATAGTAAGGCCATGCCTGCATCGTGGCAGACCAGTGCGCCTTTCAAAGATCTAACATGATCTAACCTTTGTGTTCGGCAAAGCCCCATTCATTGGATCAGACCACCCCAATTCAGTAACTGCAATGGAATGGAATGGTTGATTCACCACGAAACATGACTAAAAAAGAAATGACATGTGTCCAAGTCTGCTCCTGTCTCATGAGAACTTCCCGATAGTATCTAAGTTCCTCGAAACTGAAAACGCGGTAGGTTGAAGGTCAGGTTGCGGCAGCACGAGATTCTTCCCCGCTTTGTTGTTTTAAGGGCTGGTGAAGATAATGACAATGTGGCATTGTATGTGGTAAGAAAACGTAAGAATTTGCAATTCTTAGTTGGGGTGCCCATGCAAGCTGCACATGACTGAAGCAAACCCCCTCCACCCGCTCCATCACATCACGCATACATGACCAGCTCAAATCCCAAAGACTGTCACACGATCGTTCGCCATCACCAAGGTTGGGATTTGAGCCAACCTTACCGGGTCTCTAATTACTTATGAGATGCTACGAGACTCTTCCTGTCTCTTCCTTCAGAAAGGCTGCCTTTGTTGGCCAAATCCACCGAATCCCCAGTTCCCGCTTCTGCCGCACCTCCGGGCCGCAAGCAGTTGCAATCTACGGCCGCCGTGGCCTATAGACGCGTCTCTCCGCACGTCGGTGGACGGCACGGCGGTGAAACGGCACGGCGGTGGACGCAACGGATGACACGTGGAGGATGGACGGGTAGTTCCACAGGTACAAACCTCAAGAACAAACCTCCAGCATATAGGAGGCATTGTGTGTTACTCCTAAAGACGTTCAAGACAATCTTTCTATACCTCACTCTGCACTACAACTCCGTAATGAGTGGGCTAATTTGTTTGATTGATTCCTGCTATTCTGCCCTGGGCTGTAGACAGATCCATCCCTGTGTCCCGCTTGATTTGTCGGATGTAGAACGGAAACTGTCTTCACTTTCACAGAAAATCAAGCAGGAGTGCATCATGAAACAATCAAAGAGTGAAGCACTCACAAGAAAAGGGAAATCAATCCAATTCAGGTGAAACCATCCAATCACCAATAATCCATCAGTGCGATGTCGCATTCGCACAGGTCCCTGGCCAAGTTAGGCTTTCGACCTTACGATGCTTTCTGCCTTGCCAACCTCCGGAAAGTCGCACTCTGCGCCTCGCCTCGTCATCCTGAGGCTGCAAAATCTGCACATTCTTGGCAATGGCGATGGCGGTCTTGAGGTAATCTCCCGTGATCATCACCTCATCCGCGGATGCTGAAATCCCACGCATGCCTTTAAGGTAGGGACTGGGCTCAAAGAGCCAATGATAAAAAACACCTTTTGTCCAAAGGATTTCCACTAGGGTATGAGCAATTGTAGGTAGTAATGAACCAAACCTCCAGTGCATGAACCCAACAGACTCACTAAATGCCCAGCCAAGACACTACGCGGATACCTGCACCACGGGCTGCCAGCACTGAGTCCTGCCAGCGATTCCAGCTCCATTGTCCTCCAGTTGAAATTCGATCTGTTAAATCAATGACATTGATTTCTGGTTCTCTTTGGTTTTCCTCATGAGCCTAGTAGCTTCTTGCTACTAGTAGCGATGGCCTCCAACCTACTAGCTTCTTGTTATTAGTATGTTTTTCTTCTATGGTCAATGTTTAAAAGACATGGGCGTGTATTAAAATCGGGAGACCGCCCAAAGACCCATAAACCAAAACCCATTGGTGCGGGGTTTCTATGTTAAAATAGACACCCACATTTGGCCCGGACAATACAGAAGCCTGAAGCACGTGAAACTGTAGCTCTTCACGTGAAACTGTAACTCTTCTGTTCGTCATTAGATCTTCATGTGATATGCTGTGACAACATCACATCAGTATGACCCAAACAAACATTCAGTGGATGGTCCAGGAATGGTCGAAAGTACGTGCTTCATTGGACATGAGATTGGACCGCTGAGTGATCGTATGGGGCTCATTGACATGAGCGTTCTCATGTCCATCACACTTGACCTAATTGTGAAGTGCCCATTACTCGCGTCATCCATACTGATCCGTTGCCTCGCCCTGTCATGGCACAATTATGTCCTAAAGATGCTCTAAGCCTCATGTTGTAGATGAACCCCCAAAGCCCCTTGGCGTAGTCTTCCTCATCTCATTCCCGCCCCCTTGCGCAAATGACGCGAGAACCGCCACCAAGCGCGCCTTCACTCCATCTCGGTCCGGGTCGATAGAGGCAACCAAGCCCAGCAGGCGCAGGTCCTTGAAAGGGATTAATCTATATATATATATATTGAAGAGCCCGGAAGTCAAGGGTGACAGGAACACATTCATTCATACGTTTTGAAATACTAATTATAACTTATAACTAGTGATAAATAAGGTTTAGTTCACGTGGTGTTCCTTGCTCCCTACAAAATCACTTGGTCCTGGATGGCCAGGACCATCACTGGTTGAACTTGGAACACATGTCACTCAAGCAATCTGATGGCAACAGTACCAATGATATGGAGGTACAGTCATAAATCAAAACCTGTTGAACCAAACCAAAAAATTCTGTCACATCAAGTAGACCGAGAATAATAGGCATAGATAGTCATAGCTTTGGATTGTTCCTGATTCTTGTATATGTGTATGGTGAATTTCAAAAACACCCCCTTACTAAACAGCTTCATCGAAATTATGCTGACTTGTACAAATTCCTGAACGTTTGTGATGCAATCAAACTCCAATCTGGAAGCATGCCAGAATGCCGGAGAACCACATGAGTCAGCTATATAAGTACATGCTTGGAATTGCAGGTCCCAGCCGGCTGATCCAAGCTCTTCCTTTCGCAGGGAACACCTCGACACCACTCGACATCGGTCCACCCGCGCCTGGCGCAAAGCTGAGAACTTCTGGTCCGTTGACAGCTCGTCATCGTGCATGTCAAAGGGCAGCTCCTGCCAGGTGAAATCAAAGCGACAGCTCGGTCTCACTGGATTCTTGAGGCAAACGATTGGGTAAAGGTATAGGATTAACCATAGACTTCGCGATGAACCATGAATCCTAACCCCCCACGTCCATGATCGTCCATTCAAACATCCACACTCCACACGGAACATGCAAAAGCGGAGCACCCTCGGATCAAACGGGCTCACCGTGTTGGCTCAAACCTCACCTGGACCTCAACTCCCACCACTTGTCACCTGGTGGCCACTTATCACTTATCACATCTTATCACTATGTCCACCAAGGAGCTCAAACCGGTCTTGGATCCACATCAAACCATGAGTGATAGCTGGATTCTGACTCTATTTGACTCGATCTTCCTGTGTCTCCTGACTCTATGTCCTCGAACGAACCCACCGGATGCTCCAACTCTTTCAGACTCTCCGGCTCCGCCGTTGTGAAGCCCGTCCCGTCCGTCTTGAGCCGTCCATTCGCACGCCGTCCCGTTCGCCCCGAGTCGCTCCTTCATTGGACGAGCAGCCACTGCCAAGACCCGCAAGGCCTGGCAGAAGAGGAGACGTGTTGGTGAGAATCTGAGAACGAGAAGACGGAACTTGCTTGTCATATCACCTATTCTATCCTATTCGGTGTTTAGATCCATCAAGATGTTCATTCCTTCTACCTGGATTTGTGAATTGATTCCCGTATCACCCTAACCTCTAGCTTCAGATTTAAGGCATGGGGATCCAGAACATCTCGGAATGAGACCGACACCCAGATAGCGTCATGGATGACACCCTCCAGGATTTCCAGTGTCCGCCTTGGTGCTGTAGTCATCCACCACCTTCAAGACTTCGGCCTTTGCCTGAAACGACAGTGCAAAGCAGTGAAACATAAGTGAAACCACATGACATCATATTGAGACCTCCTCCTCCTCCCTCCTCCTCCTCCTCCCTCCTCCTCCTCCTCCTTCCTCCTCCTCCTCCTCCCTCCTCCTCCTCCTCCTCCCTCCTCCTCCTCCTCATCATCATCATCATCGGGTGTTTGTGCTAGAGTCATCGAGTCATCGATCCCGATTGTGCCAATTGTAGGGTGACGTTCGTCAAGATGGGACCTTGGACCTTTGCGAGCCCCAAACCACTAGAGGTCCAACTTTGGGCCTCTACATGATGAGACATTAAAACATGTTAAACCCCACATCTTCTATGTGATGCCAATGGACACAATTTTTCACACATGTGTCTCTCAGAAGTCATCAACAGCCTCTTTTCCTGGATGCACCAACTGCTTTTCTCAAGCCTGATCACCAGCCCTAGCCGCCCTAGCCTAGCCGTAACCTTCGGGAAAATCTTAGCAATTCTTAGCATGATACAAGTACGTGAAACACCGACTGATTCATCCACCCAGCACAAGACTTCTGGTCTTATATAAGTCTTAGATACCCTATAGAATATAGGGCCTATAGGGTGGGGGGGCCTTGCAGGCCATTCTATAGTTATAAAACGGTCAGGGTAACCTACTCAAGAAGGCTTAGGGTCTATATCTTGGTGGCCTAGGGTCTAGGGGCTGTCTCACGATGTGAAGCCAGCCCTCTCTGTTGAGTTCACCGAGGTGTCCCACCACCGGTGTCAACTGGAAGAGGAACATCGTAAGTGACTTTTTGTGGAGAGACAACAACAAGCAACAACAAAACTGGTGGAAACCAGAAGATATTTGTTTAGCAGCGTTTAAGGTTTGAACACCTCCAGGAATGAAGTGATCCATTTGGAAGCTCACATCACAGGCCCACCAGGATCAATCGCTCCAAGAAAGGCTCCATGCAATTACTGTTGATACCATGTGTCCTTGTTATGACAAACAACATTCCTGCTGCGCAGAGCTGCTGTAGGTTTCAGACATCAGCCTAACACTAACCCCTTCATAAAGGCAGACTCTTCACATCAAGCCCAGGCTGAGCCTCTTCTGTCATCCTTGGCTGAACAAATCTGTGCAACCAAGTGATCATCAATGTCTTGAATATTAATGAAGCAGCAAAGAGGCAAGAATGGCTGTGGGTCATGAGTCATGTCACTTGTCCGAACCAAATGACATCCGTCCACCACATGCTTCTGCACCGGGTGACAAGGCAAGTGGTTTTCCTTGTGACGTGTCTTCACTCCGTTCACTCATTTATACAGGTTTCGACTAAGACGTCCCAAAAGCCGGTAGACACTCTGAAAAAGTGACGACAGGTCTGGAAGTTCTGACCCGACGAAGGCTCGCCAGGGGTGTCTCGAAAACATTGGGCTTTCTGGTCTCTATATAAGTGATGAAATGGACGTACGAATACTCGTATGTGACCAGGAACACAAACAAAAAGTGACTCTTCCGAAGAGTCAAATGTGCACTAAAGGGCGCTGCAGGATTCAGGCAAACCAGGAGAAATTGATGACAATCTTCCTTCCACACTGCCCTCGCAACTGCTTCGGTCACTGTTTTGGAGTTTTGGAGGGTCTTCCCGGTGAACGGAACAGAACAAGAGTCGTAAACAAAAAAACAGCAGAATCTGTGACGTAGACCACAGGCGGCCACATGGCCATCATCGATCCATCCTAATGAAAATGGTCACAGCTCCTCTTCATTCATCCTCCCGGCAACAGACTTCTCTTTGACTAAGGGCACAGCCTCAGGGGCCTCAATCAACCGAACCAACAGGAAGAGATGCAAACCGACGTGGCCAACATCAACCCCCCCCAACCCGGCACTCCAGATCGGACCCGTCCGAGGTGCTTTGCGACGGTGCCATCCGCCATCATTCGCTCTTCGCAAAGGTCCACAATGAAGTTGGGAGCGCCCTGCACGGTCGGAGGCGGAAGCGCCGGTGTTTTCGTTTACGGTGCAGAAGTGGCAGGTCTTTGCGGGAACAGCTCGGACTCACGGCGAAGGGAACTGCGGCAGTTGACGGAAAAGACGACGCCTGAGGGGAGGAAAACATCCCGTGTGGTGCTGACACCTCTCATGTGGCATATCTATACAGATCCTGGCATCGCCGGCCTCGTTGTGAAACACGATTCATGCAAACTGCACGGCATTCATGTAGAATGTTGATGAATCTGTAAAAGATCACGAAACCCCCATGGAAAGAGCTGCATGGCAATCCAAATGGAGGGGAGGAAACAAAGACGATGTTGTAACATGTTATAACATGTTATAACATAATAACCCAATGTAACCCATCATTTGAGCATATTTGAGCATCATTGGATCAAGATTCCTACCTGATCTGCCCAGGCTTCGCGCCTTGCACACGGCCAGGTACTTGGTGCCTCCGGCTGTCCACACCAACCACCCGTCCAGGTCGACCGTCCGTGCCGTAGTCGTGGAGGTCGATGTTCCCAAACGAAACGGAAAGAAGCAACTCAAGGTAACCAAAGGGTGTTTCCGGTCTATTTCCCTTTTCTTTCTTACCAGCCCTGACAGGTGTTAGCACCCCTAAAAGAAAGGTAACTACCAAAGGGTGTTAGCTTTTCACTTTCACTTGCGCACAGAGCAGTTAAGCGCAGAGCCTTCGCTGGTCATTCTTAATTGAGACAGGGGTGTTAGCACCCAAAAGAAAAAAGAAACGTCGCACGAGAAGACAGTCACTGCCTGACGGAGATCTCATATATTCTTTGGCTCGAAAACAGAGACTTGGACTCGCCATCGCCGCTGAGCTCGTGGTTGGGAAACCTTCTCCCAACTCCCAACTGGGGGGGGCGAGTAAGCCCAGTGCAAGGCCGCCTATACTCGGATGGAAGTCACGGAAACTGAAGCCTGGCATGTCGCGTATTTGACCCACAGGGCATCGTTCCACCAACCATGACGTAAACCCACGTAGAACGGAACCAAAACGGGCCAAAAGAGGCGAACTCCAGTGGTTTTTGATGGTTTTGCGTGGCAAAATCCAATCTCCCTGGATGATTGTCATGTCAAACTTCTTTCTCATTCACAGACCTCAACTATATCACTCCACATCTCAGACACCTGGACCTACGAAAGATCGCCCCCCACACCGGCCCCTTCGGCCTTCGGGCAACGGCATGCCGTCCTCGCAGAGATGGCTCCGCCCCGAGACGTCGGAGACGGTGAGCATCATCTGCGGCATGGAAGAAGGGAGAAGAGAAAACGACGCGGAAGATCAACGCAGACATCATGGTGGGCTTGGCTTCTGGCTTCATAATGCTTCTGGCTTCATATGATTCTATCTATCATGATGTGGGTTTCTCCCTATGCAATTCTTCGCTATCCCAACACTCACATGCTCAGACATGCTACCTGTAGTTTTCTGAGTGAAGCACTTCTCACTTTGGCTGGGACCTGACTTACCAACTCACAGAACAGGAGTTGTGTCCCATGTGGGTCGACACGGCTCGAACTTCTCCTTTTGGATCAAAGGGAAAACATGGGATGTGGTGTGCATCTGCACGCTCTCAGGACTTCCTGGGAGCGCATGGTCTTTCAGCGCGTCGCTGCAAGTCGCGGTGCTGTGGCCTTCCGCGAGGAGGAGAAGGGGATCTCGATGGTGCGCGGATAATCCTTGGACCTCAAGGGCGTTTTTGGCCAAGCTTCATGGAACATGAGAGCCTGGAGAGTGATGGCACAAACATCCCCAAAAGTGATGGTTCGTTATGGAAGGCTTGCCAACCAAACAAGGGCTCTTTTTGCCAAGTGTCCTGAGCAAAGCATAGCTCTCTGACCCTACAAGTACAAGTTGGGATGGTTCCTGCATCAATTCATGGAAGATCAGACTTCCGGCACCACCGAAAACGAAGACCGTGCAACACTTGACTGCTGCCAATACCAGCACTCTACCCACTTCGCAGAGTGAGGTGAACTGGATTCATAGCTTCCAACATCTTGAAACATCCCTAAGCATCCAAAGACCAGCAGCAAGACCTACCATGCTCCAGGGCAAAAGCGATTCTTCATGGATTCTCAGGATCTATCTAATTATATGCACACAAAAGACACTACACCGATCTACCACACCCACCACAAGGTTCCCCACCGAGTTCCTCCACTCAACCTCCACTCAACCTCACCGCTCTCCCCGTAGAAAGCGCCTTCTTCACGCGCTTTCACACCACCAAAAACCACCTTCCACCGAGCCAAAGCACCGCTGTCACCAGCAGTATTACCCACCGAACTCCCGCTCCGTGCCTTCCGTGCCTCCCGCGACACGGCACCGCGGCCCCTTTCACCGTCGACCTGGGCGTCCCTCACACGTTCTCCGTGAGGCCCACCTTTCGGGCGGCCACCACGATGGGCGCCTCCGAGGAGTTGCCCCGCGGCTCCCACTTCTCCTGACGTCACGACGCGCGACGACGGAGACCGTCACGGACCGCCGTGGCATCCGGAGACGGTGGCAGGATGTGCCAGGTCTGACAGGTCGTTGGGAGGTCTGGCAGGTCCAACAACTGCAGTTCACGCCGCTGGTTGCAATTCTTTTGTTTGGAGTCTGTGCAAGGCAGGGACGTTGTGTTCTAACCGCCAAAGTTGTGTTGGCAATGTTTGACTCCAAATGTCTCTCCCATAGATCCCACACTTCGTATCACTTCGTGCTGCCAAGGCCATGCCCACTTCCCGCCCTCCAAATCAGCTCCTCACCGGTATCTGGATCTCGAACCTGGTTCGCAAACCGCACACTGCACGACCCAAGACATCTGGAGTCTGGTCAAGGCAGTTACTCGGTATCAAGGCAGTCCCTCGTTGGTTGGATGAAGTGGGTAGGCCAAACTGATGCCCTTGTTACGTTCGTAGCTTCTAGCTACTAGTAGCGATGCACTTGTTACTACTAGCGATGGCCCGTGTTACTAGTAGCTTCTAGCTTCCGTTGTCTTCCCGAGCAGCTGGATGCTTGAGATTGATACATGTTTCATCATGATACCGCCTGACTGTTTCAAGTTGCAAAGAACAAGGTGGATGGATCTACATAGGGCTACGAGTAACAAAGGCTAAGCACATCATGTTTTTTTGTAGCTCCGGGGAGCTACCAAACACCCAACATGCTACTATCATCTCATATACAACCCATCTTAGGTTTCTCACAAACACTTATATAGTTCATCCACTCAAGTGGAAAACGCTTTTCCGAATTCCCTGTAACAAAGAGTTGTGAATTCGCTTTAAGTGAACAGTTTTTCAAAGAGGGCTCATATTGGGTGAATTCATCCTAAAGCTGTGCATGGTAGAGAATTCGAGATTTGGACGCCAACCAGAATGTCCTTCCACATGCCTTGTCCAGGGTGGTGTTGCCTGAGTGAGTCATTCGCACAACACTCACACCCAAAGGGACAAGTAAATCCCCTCAACGAGGCTAGCCTTGGATCCTGCACCCCCCTACTGTGTGTATTTTGAAGCCAATACCTCCTTCTGTAGAGTGGTCGTGCGGAGGTCCCTCTCCAACAAAGGAAAATAGGCTACAAAGATTTTTAGATTGGACACCATTAGTCGGTGTTGGTAGGATCCAAATGTGTGAAGTCAATCAAGCGCATGGCTGTAGTTACAACATATGTCATAGTCATATGTCTGTTTCTTGACTTCTGTTGCGATCGGCCAGGATTCTTCCTTGGGAGGGTCCATGGTAACAGCTTCAAAATGTGCAAAAGTATGGCCAGTGCATTTCTGAAATTTTACTGTAGCGTCGTCGGATGTTCCGCCATCTATCAGAAGATTGGACCATCCAAGTAGTGTGGCTGAGGGTGGTGGGGAACAAAACCTGAATGCGTGCACAATGTTCAGAACGTTGTTCCCCGTCAAAATCTATGGCAAAAGGTTCGGAAATCCAACATTGTCACCCAAAACGTAGTGAAAACCTGAACTAGTCGTTGAAGTCGTTAAAGGTCACTCTTCACATGTTATCACATTCATTCAACTTTCACCCGTACATACTCACAAAATCTGGTGCTTTGAATGATTCTTCAATGTTGCTCATCCTCTGCTCCTTGTTCTGGCCGAACCACCTTGCCCCACTGGCGACCTCTCCTTCCAAAAACAACAACTACTCCCTACATCTCCACGTCGACAGCACCTCGACCTCCAAGGCACAGCAAAGGATCCCCGACAGCAAGGTCGACCGGACGCCCATCTGTCGACCCGCTTCGACGCCTCCGCTTCGTGTTTCGCCGGAAGCACGACACGCGCGTCGGAGCGCGAGCTTCGCGCGTCGTTGCGCGCGGTTTCGCGGCTGCGACCGGCAAGGCAGGGCCGTTTCAGCTTGTTGCCCTTTTTTTGCCCTGGGGATTTGGGTGCGTTCTTGCTGTGTTGGACACCGTCTGCCCAGCGTTCCTTTTTTGGGAAGGAGGGGATTTCAGCGGTTTAGGCCTGCTTTTGTAAGACCAACCCATTTTGAAGCTGTATATGACCAACTTTGCTATCATACTTGTTGTTTCGTAAGAAAAGGCCTGCACTGCAAAACTCTAGGTTGTTAGCTGATGTTCATTGACAAATTTCCAGAGCTCTTGCTCAACTTGCTATGGGTCAAAAAGGTGCACTACTGTACTCAAGCACACTGACTGTTCGAGGGGAAAAAAAACAAACAAACCATGTGCAGTTTCCCGGTCGTTTTTGAGTCGCTCTCAAAAGCGAAGCACCGCTTTTCTCTCGTCGGTTTCCTACATGTTTTGAGATTCTCCCAAGTCTTCTTCATGTCCCATCCCCGCCTGTGTCACAGGTGGTGATCCTCCCAACGGTTGGATCAAAGCCTTTGCCACCCACATCGTAGGTCACACCGCCGGCCCACATGTTCACCTCGCCAGCGATGGCCGAGGAGGCTTTGGCCCCAGAACACACGGGCGGGTGGCGTTTGGCTCACACCGGGTCTTGGTCCATTGGACCTTACAAGATCTTACAGATCTCTAGTAAGTGACAAGAAAGTGGTGATCTATGGTGATCTGATTAATTAAACTGACAAGTCACAAGTGTTGCCATGTTTGTTTGAGGACTATATATATATATATTAAAGGGTTCCAAGTCGGCGTAGGGGTTCTGCAAAAGATTGTCGGAAGATGCTCCAGCTACTCTGGCTTGGCTATTGATTCCCTCCAAAAGGGTCTCAAATCAACCGATCACCAGGCATATACAGGGGAACCGGTTTGTGCGACGAAATCCGGAACCCTGCAGGCAAAAACGACTCCTTTGGACAAGCTTGAACGACCACTTCCCCAAAAGACCGTTGAGCCAGGCCCACTTGATGGACTTCTTCACCACACTACACCGAATCGAATCAGTGCCAAGGATGCGGATATCCTAAACATGCCGAAAGGATGCACCACCTCAAGGTGCCAGACATCCAAAAAGACCTGTTCAGACCCTTTCACCTTCAGCTCACACTCAAGCAAACCCCTCCTTTTGCTTTTCCCCTCCTCCGATCAAGTCGTTTCATCGTTGTGAGCCACGTGTCCCGTCTTCTCCTCCCATCCCTCCGAGAGGCCATGGTCATCTTCCCCTCGGTCAAGGTCCCCGTCTTGTCGCTGCAGATCACCGAGGCGGAGCCCAAAGTCTCCACCGCCGCCAGCTTTCCTCGAGGCTCCGCGCGCCGTTTCCACCGCGGTGGAAAGTGGAAACACCGCGGGTCCGCACACGTGGTGCGAAACGGGGGTGCGAAACGGGGAGGGTCCCCGAGTGTGCACTGCTTTGAATTGGAGAAGTTGCGGGAGCGAGATGCCGGGGCTGGGCTGAAGAGGTCAAAGCTGAGGGATTCTTGAGGGTTAGATGGTTGTTTCTGATGACAAGCCATAGGACCATAGGTAGAACATGGTAGATACTGTGAATAAACCAATACAATTATAATTATTACTATTGTTATATATTATATTGATTAATATATAGGCCCAAAGAATGTCTGCTTATGTCTGCTTGCAAGACCCACCATTGGCTCAGAATGGCTCAGAGATGGTGAGAGATATGACCACTTTGAGACACTCCAAAGCTTGGCGGCTGCACAAACCGCTGGATTCTCCCCAGGTCATCGAAAAAAACGTAGTTCCAAGTTCCAATGAGAGAACTCTAGTCTGCCCATGTTCATGTCGCAAAACCTGAGAAAACCTGATTCGGGCGCCTACCCTGCTTTGCCGAGTGGCGCACCAGCACGTGTTGGTTCACCATGTCGCTGCATCCGATCGAGAGGGAGATGGTCACACAGAGGGGAATGCCCTGCCGGGCAGCGAGGGACATTTTCCGAGCCGACAGAAGCGCGTGGAGAAAATGGTTCTACTCACTACTGCCATGGTTTAGGGAACTACTCAGTAACTGGCACAAGGGTACAGCTGCCATGTCATTTCGTCGGAGTGGGCATGACCCCAGAACTTCCGTTTTATCATGAACTACCCCACCTGGGAGGCATAGTACACCTCACTACCATAGGGGTAAAATGACTCTATTTTGACTCTTAGGGGATGCCAAAAAGCATTTTCCGGAAGAACAATCTACAGTACACAGTTGCTGATGATTCTTCCTTATTGGCTAGTGGCTGAAGCAAATACTGCTTGGAATACCCAGCCACTTTCAACATTAGAATCCGATGAACCCATATTATCGCGCAAACACTGTATATTTCCCGAATCCCTGAGCCCGCGATTGTGGGGTTACCTCACTGCCAAGAAAACCAAATCGTGAAGAAAGCAAACAGAGATGCCTGGACAGGAGGGGATGGGCAGTGTTTCGGGAGTTCTTGGATCTTCTTTCCAGTTCACATTGTTTACCGACATCTCCACCATTCTCGACCCCCGCCTTATAAGTAGCGCTACACTTCGTAGGTTGTCAAGTGTCACTCAAGCACATCCTGGAACCGCCCAACACCCACACGCCATGCGTGCGCTCGGCCTCGGGGATGGCTGCCACTGCAAGGGTCACCGCAATCAAGACCTTGGTCAACAAGGCCAAACCGTTAACAAAATGCAGGGTGTTTGGCGTTGGGCATATATGTTTATTCATGTGTTTTCCATCATTCCAAAACATGGATGGTGGTGATCTACTGGAATCCTCTTCAGATATTTGGTGAACCTCGACCCACACCACAAGTACCTGAATTTGTATGAGTTTGAGATAGTTTGAGTCATTGGTAGTTCTCGGACATGGTGCAATCATATGAAATCCCCTCAACTCCATCACCAGGTCAAGTCCTCAGCCTTTATGCTTGCGTCATGTCTTTGTCCAGGCTGGCGTCTGGTCGAGTGACCATGTACAACGCGGCACCGGTCTCGGCTCCGCTCTCGGCTCCGCTTTGGCTGTCCACGTCCTTTCGGCTTTCCACGGGCTTTCGATCCAAGGCGACGCCTCAGACCGATCGGTCGATGTTGCGCGTGGAGCTGCGCGCTCCGGTGGGTCCCAGAGGCCAGCCGTAGGGGTCGCCTGGCAAGGGGAAGCACAAAGTTAGGGACTCCAAAAGGTCACAGTGAAATCTTTGAAGAAACTGGTAGTATATAGACTTTGCATGCTTTTGCAATGACTAAGTTGAGATTGGCAAGCAACGGCAGAAAAGATCAATTGCTCAGGGATACCCGGTCGGACGTTCTTCGCTTGAGACCTGCCAATTATACCACCTGCCAGGTGTCTTCGTTTTTTCGTTTGCAACAACCAAGAGTAGGTTGGGGTCAGGTGGACTGGTCTGACCCCGCAGTAGACCAACTAAGGATATCCAGGATTTGAAAGTTGGTATAAACACTCCTCAGAAGGGGAGCCAGTGGAAGTTAACATTGGACTCGCGGCGACCCGCAAACCAAATCATTTGGACGAGGTACCCGTTTTGGCCCATTCTTGCCTTGCCAAAAGATCGACCTAGAGTTCCAGCTTGGGGTCACCCACTCTCCAGAAACTTCGGAGTCCCACTGCGAGCCATTTTATATCATGTTCCAAAATGATGCACCCGACAAACTTATGATGCTAGTGATGCCGACACATGTTAGGTGCATCTTTTGCATTACAAAATCACAAAGAATTACCCAGAAAGACAAACATTGGCTCTGTCCCAATGTCACGTCTCCTCCCATGCCTTGAAGGGCTTTCAAAGAAACCTTCCCCTGACCTCGTTGTGAGTCACGCTCACCATTCTCCAACCCCACCCTGTTCCATTTCCAGCGTCCGATGATGAAGACCAACACGCAAACCTCAAGGCCGTTCAGATTCCTCCATCGCAGGTTCCCCGAGAGTCTTCCACAGTCGTCCACCCGAGAGGTAGCTTCTTGCTCTGTTCGTAGTAAGGCCACGAGCCCCGTTCGTAGCGTCCGAATCGCTCCGTTCGTAGCGATGCCAGGAGCCCCTAGTAGAGTCATCAACGCGTAGAAGAACCCAGTGGAGTGGTCCATGTTTCAGAAATCTGACATCTAACTTTGCAGGTGGGTGCACTGGGTTCTTTCCTAACGAGACATGGCATCTTCGGAGTCTTCGGACTGCGGCCCAGTGTGGCCAGCCCAGGCCCTGGGGCGTTTGTAACACACATGTTTTCCCACGAGACATGGGCGTCAACTCTCAATAACTGCCACACAAGTGGGCCATCCACGTGTATTGCCTCGGTTCTTCTCTGTTGTCACCCACCCACGTCAATGATGAGCGCAGTGGCATCATCGTTTGCTCAACTTTGGGGCGATCTTTGGGATGACTTCCAACTGCAGCGAGTTCCGAACTTTGTGCAAAACACCTGATCAATCCTGATACAGTAATAAGTCAAAGCTCAGCCTGCCAAGGGCGCTCTACCCCATCCCCACCGTTGCCCGTGTGCCCCACGTCCACCCACCACGGAGCCCATGCTCCATGGTGAAGGGAGACAGACTGGGCCCAGTGACGACGATCGCTAAAATACCGATCTTCGCACCCAGCTGTTCCAGGTTCCTCCAGCGAGGCTTGCGGTTCACGAGGACAAACATGGACACGTGCAGTCTTTCAACACGCCTTCGACCGACCTACAGGGAGACACCGACCTACAGGATCCCGTCTGAAATGGTCAGTGGTTAGATGTTGTTAGGATGGTCCCGTGGAAGGATCCTGTAACTTGCTTTGGTCTTGTCAAGATTAGACCACATCCAAACTAGATGGACAATTATCCCACAAGGACAGAGTTGAAAAGACACTTAGTACAGTAGCTCACTGCTGCATCTGTTTGAGGAGCGCACAAAAGTCCAGGAACCGTGGGCTTGTGCGTTGTCTGCGTGCATTGTGTTTTTCATTGTCGTGGTTCGGGAAATTTCACATCCCAGCAAGTTCAGCTGCAGGTCTCGCAAGTCAAGCGAGTCAAGGACGTTTTGCAGTTGTGAAGCACCCATTGAACCTGATTATCGTTGCCTACCTCCCAGCTGCAAACTTGCCCCCAAAAAAAAAACAAGAAACAGTGAATAGGCACTGGCACTAACAATTCACTTAAGGATCAATCGACGCCAGTGACCCCAGCAACCCACTTGACAACATCTTCCGTGCAAACGTGACCCGAGCAGAGCTCGCTTTCCTTTCGTTCGATCCGCCCGCGCCTTTGGAGGGGCGTCTGATTCGCCGAGGTATCGGGCAAGCAAAAGCACTTCTTCTTGGGGCCCTCCTGACGAAAAAGGACCGGCAGTGCATGCAAATGGATGTAGGGATGGGCCCTTAGACCATGCTGAGGGCTTCTTCCATCGGTTTCTGATGGGGTCAAGTCCCAGTTTTGAATTCTGTTGGGTATGCAATTGCATGGTAGTATATGGCGTCCATAAAAGGTCGCTTCCTGCTTGGTGCGATTCGTCTGCGAAGTTCCAGAACCCAGAGAAGTGGACGTCTGCGGAGAACTCCTCTCGATGCTTGGGATGCTTGGAGCTATGCCGTCCTCTTGACCTGTGAGAGGTAGAACTTATGGGTCCAGGAAACCCACCTTTGTGAGGAAACCCGGGAGACCGCTGAAGGGTTGAGTTAGCTAGAGACCGCTGTGTTCGTGTAGGATCTGCCTGGATTCTGAGGCGATTCGCACTTGATTCGCACTTCAAACTGATTCCCAGTGCCTTTGCTCTTCCTCTCTCTTTCGGATTCCCGGTCATGGATGATCATCCCATCACAAGGCTGCCAGGCTGCCCCTCTTGTTGGAGGTTTCCGTCCTGGCCCTGGACACAGAAAAAAGGCCGAGGGTAGTCCTAAGAGTCGAGTTACACGAAGTCTCCTCATGTATCCAGAAACTAATATATACCACTCTCTCGGCACCTACTGTAGTACTACTACAAACCACTACAAATCACTACAAGCTGCCCTCCTTCTCATCTCTCCACCTCCAACCCCCTCAACCCCACGTGTCCAAACCCTCGGTGCCGTACCGAAACCCTCCCAACCCGCTCCTCACCGGCGATGAGCTGAGCAATCCGGCCAATGCGCGTGCCCATGCCGGTGGCGGTGACGACCCCACGGCCCTCACACGTGACGGCACGGCCCTCACACGTGACGTCCGACCCCTCCGGTGTTCTGCCAGAAAATCGCTATAGGCAAAGCGGAAGATGATGGAATGGCTGAAGAGACAGAAATCAGCAGAACATGAATCCTCCAGTAAGTTTGCATGAGTTCGCTGCATTCACCACCCAAAAGGACCCAAAGACCATGGGATTGCGCAACGACCACGGCCTTGCCATTGGTGACGTTGCACCCCGAGAAGACGCAAACCTCTGGCGTCAGCTTCTCAGGCTCGCCCTGGCGCTCGTAGCTGGTGTGGTGAAGGAAAAAACGGAATCGTTTCGAACAGGGTATGCAATGTGCGGTATGTACCTTAAAGAAACATGTATGGTTCAGTTTAGTGGAAAACTGGAAAACCATTAGTACGATTGGTTCTCTTCGGAGGGTTCATGTGTTAATTACCTGCTTCTATTTGTACCTTTATGTTATCTTGGCCAACTTGCAGGTGACAAATGAACTTGGGCTCGAGTGAGACTTGGACTTGGCGGACTTGCCGGAGGTGATGCACATTCATGCACTTTCACTCGTTGACTCATAGCTGCTGAGTGAAATTGTGTGTTGCTGGATTTACTTCCTGTCGAAATTGTTGAAATCCTTGCCACATGTATATTTTTTATGCCCATGTTCCAGCTGCGGCAATGATACGTGCATCATGGTTTCAGTTTGGTATATCAGCGGGTTTTTGCGAGGAGTCTGCCTGATGATTGTTGATCTTGATATGGTTCGCTCCTTGATGATATAGCAAAAAAAAACAACTGCATGTGGTTGAACGTAATAATTGGTAATAATAACATCCATTCGTTCGTTCCGTGTGTGGTTAGCAAACCCTGCAACCAGAAACACGGAAAGGTTGACTGTTGCGCGTGCAGATGTCCATGGAGACGGAGACGACTAGTTAATGTCTCGTCTGCAATTAGTAGACTCCAAAAGGAGCGTCCTTTTTCCTCTGCATCTTTGGAGCCATAGTTCTATAAATACACTAGTTATATAACTATAAATATATAATGATTAGTAGTTTGGGAGACTGGGCCAAAAAGCAAGTCGTCTGTTTGGTGATTTAAAACATCCGGCGAACATAAGTTAATTCCCAAAGAGCCATACACTCCGAGGAAAATTAGCATGGAAGTGGAATTCACCACGTGTTTGTAGAGGATTTGACGGTCATCCAAGGGGCCGTGCCATCCACTTCCATGATTCTTTCACGGAGTGTAGAATTCTAGTAACATTCTAACACCACCACATCATGAAGCGGTAGAATCTCCACATCTAGGTGTGCCACGGGCTGTGTATCGTAGCTGGAGCTTGGTGAAAGGAGTTTCCAAGCTATCCATTGATTTCCCAGGTAAATCCATTATTCTCCAAAGCTTTTTTCCCCAAAAGAACAGGTCCTGACCTTGTGGGGGGTGACAGATCCCGGTGGAGGAACTTCTGCCGGTGAAAAAGGCCGAGTCTGCTGGCGATTTCGCTGAGTGAAACGGCTGTCTTGGGATCAGAAAGGATGGCGACACTTAGAGGTCAGATCCCCCGCTTGATGTTGATTGCTGTGGGAATTCTACAAAGAATCCCAAGGTGACGTCTAGCTGCCATTCATAAACATCCATAAACGCTTATATAAAGAAAGAAACAATAAAACAAAACACTCTTGACAAGTGTGATGCGTGTTCTACTGTCACACTAAGCCCAAGACCATACATGCACCAACAAATGTCCGCCTTTCTGGAAAAAAAACAACTCACCTGCTACATACTACTTCAGACCCCAACAATGGCACCAATTTCCCCCCACGCCAAGCGCGCCTCTTTCCTTGGTTTCAACTTCCAGGTCTTGGAGACCTCACGGACGGAGGTGGAGCGATGGAAGACGGATGCCGGGTGAACCGGGTCGATGAGTTCGAACGCATCCGGGAAACAAAGCTATGGTTTATGATGTCATGTGGCCATGTATGGTTTAATTGATACTTGGACTCTTGACCAATAAAGCTTGGACTCTTGACGAGAGCGCCGCAACAAGTGTCTTTCGCTGGTTGGCCGTCCAAAGGGTCAAAGTCATACGATTAGGGGACCAGTCCTTCCATACCATCACGTCCAATGCTGCAAAGAGGCTGCCGGCTAGAGCTAGTTAGACCGTTAGACCGTCAGACCCATGTTACATTCCAAAAGCTGAGTTGTTTGGTGCCAGATTTCTTGAGACTTTTCCTGACTGCTTTTCATCAGAAATATGCTCATCATCACAGCCCACAAAATGACTGGGTGCCCCTGCATCGTCCGGCTCTCCTGGCGGGGATCGGTGACGAGCATGGACAGCGGACTGATAAACACTCATGAGGATGCCCCCAAAAAAAAAAAAAAAAACAGACATGATGCCTTGGGGTATATCATGGTATATCCCATCACCAGGTTTCAGTGGATGATGCTTAGATATGCTTAGTAAAGACTCGTTCTCCAAAATAGTGATAATCGTTTACCCACCGTTACTGGTAATGACACACCCTAATGATCGCCGCTACATATGGAAAAAGGGAATAGAATGACTTGTTTAATCTAAATGAAGGACGCCATGCACCATCATCATAAACCTGTGCGGTGCAGGGCAAACTAACATGCAGCCCCCCAAACCTTCTCTACGATTCAGATGCGCCATAGATGGCATTGAGGCACCACTCTCTCTCTCTCTCTCTCTGAATCCAACTTCATGTAGACTCTTGATTAATAACCCCCCCATAGGTTTATTAATCAAGAGTCTACATGTCTACATTAGTCGAAATTCCAAAAAGGCTTCCGCAAAAGAACCGTAATGCTCTCTCCTGCCCTCCTCCCCCGCTGGGAATATCCAGCGGTGTGGAACGCTTCGCCTGTGAGCGCCATCTCACTGACCTTGAGATCCTCCGCCTCTGCCAGGCGCATGTCCTGCGAGCGAAGACGTGGTCGACGTGGTCGACGTGGTCGAATCCCACGAGGCCCGGCACTTCTGATTCCTGTATGGGAGAAGATGTTGAGGGGCCCTGTCCCAAACTGCATTGTTCTGAGCCGGGAAGTTTTGACGTTTTCACCAATGGTGGCAGTTGAGGGGTGTTTTCGACTTAAGGCTCAAATGGAGTGCTTCTGCAAGGAGTCGGTGAATTTCACCAGCCTTGTAGGAGGAGCAATGAGCATTTAAAAGAAACCATGTTATATTATCCGGTGTCAAAACCTTAACCATCGAGAAAGCACTCGAGTTGTTGTGTGCAACTGGGACTCCCTGAGAGTAGTGATTATGATCATGGCATGCATGGCTCTGGTGCTTTTGTCCGCCCCGCGTGGAGCCAATGACTCCCCCAGACCGACCCGTCGTCAACGACCGCCACGTGCGATGCCAAAGCGATGCGATGCGAACGCGATGCGAGGCTCCGCGCTCCGCGGGGACGACGTCGCCGGTGCCGAGCACCACGATGTCGCCACGGACCACGGTGTTGGTGGTGATCTGAACCTCCTGCCTTGGTGCCGATGTGATCCCGGATTGTTGAAGAAAGGATCCCAGTGCTCGGCCAGGAACCGAACATGGAAACACTCAGTGGCTAATTGGTGGGTCAAAGTGAAAAGAGGCGGGAGTCTGTTGGGCACGACTAAACCCATCAACGGAGTTCGTGGTTGAGAAGCTGCCTTCTGGTTTCGCCTAAGAGGAGACTGCTTGGAGGCGTTCAACAACGTGTCCTGAGGGCAAAAACCTCTTGGGACGTGTATATAGAGATGCAAACGCTGCTAGGTTCCAGCATATTCTGCATGATGACAGTGGTACGAGTACCTCTTGACACTGCACTAAGATTGTTGGAGAGTCCAGCTTCTCTTGGCAACCTTTTCCAGTGGGCTGATCCTTTTCCCACCACAAAACCGGTGCTGTCCAGTGGCCCATCGCGGACAACCTGGGCTGGGTGGCTCACCAAGTAAGTACAGGAGAACAGGAGATAAACCTCTTGCAGTATGCATATCTAGATGGTTTTCAATATCCGGATGGTTTTCAATTGTAGGTGTTGAGTGGCGATAGGGGTGGTCCGATAGGATCTATTCTATAGGAGTGGTCCTTGGATCTGATCGTACGAAACCTGGGTACAAGCTATTCATCCGGATACCTTTCCAAATGGATCCAAATGGCCAGTGCCCCATTGCTACTGCGTATACGAGGAGGCTTCACCACACCCATGCTGACATTCCGTTCCTCAAACCAAATTTTGGAGAGGTCTCATCATCCTTCAATACTTGCTGTTCCTCACTTTGAATGGACACAAATTGCACAGTGTCGGACAGAGTCATGACATAGTGAATCTGTTGAAATGCATGTTCAACTGAAAACGCGCTCTTGATTGCTCTGGGTTTGGAGCCATACCAAACTGGGACAAGTATAACTTCAGGTCTGTGCGAACTGCAAAGGAGGGCACAACGCAAATAAGGCCTTGGATGTCAGTTCAATTGTTGTGGTTCCTCCAGGAACATCTTTAACTGTATCCAGTATCCAACCTTCCCGTAGTTGTAGACAAACCAATCAGTGGAAGGCCTGGGAAGACTGGCTATGGGCCAGTTCTTTGATTGCAAATGCTCACTATGGATCCTGCCCCAAAAGGGATCAGATGTTGAAGATGCTTGTGGGGGATTGCATGCTTTCGCCATCGCTCAGGAACCCTAAACCACGTATTCACTCGAGAAAACTGAGCCAAACTGGCACGAAAAACCTAAACCCTCCGGACTGTCTCCTCATCCATCCTCATCCAGCTCTGTCTCAGTGGCATAGATGGCTGCCTGGGTCATCTTGGACAAGGCTTCCAGAGCATCACCGGCTTTGTGCTCCGTCCAAGCCGCGATGCCCGCATTGAGGATCACCTCTTTGGAGGTCGAAAGCAGGACAGGTCTGGCCAACCCCATACCAAGCCCTGGAGCTTGGCTGGTATGGAAGTTCCATGTAAGACTTCCTTACTAAACACTGGGAGTTGCTTGAGAAAACCACCACCCTCCCCTACCAAAGCTGTTTAGGTCGCTTGAGCTCCGCTGCTTGAGCTCCGCACGTCCGAAACGACGGTCCGGATCCCGTGGGGGGTGACGTCAGTAGCGGTGCACCCTTCTCGTGCGAATGGCGGGGAGTTGGGGGAGTTTGGTCTCAAAAGAGAACTCGGCTGCCACTGGCCTATTCATCGAAAAAGAAAAGAAGATGCACTTATTAGTCTTTGGTATGAATTATACTGGCTTCTTCTTCCGTCACAGCAACTCCACCTAATTAAGCAACAAAGCGTAGAGTAAGAACATGTCAAAATTCAACATGCAACTATCAAAAGATTGCCTCAGAGTGGCCCTAATCGTATGCCCTTCATGCCGAGTGGGAGATCAAATGAGACATTTCACCTGAGAGCTCATGGAAACCCAAAGTACAGCAAACGATGCCGCCCAGGTGCAATGACGAAGATCGCAATGCCTGTCAGTGAGCGCGAGGAGAAAACTGAGAACGGTATCTATTGCAACTTCTCCTCAGGGGGATGGTCAGTGACTTCGCGGTTGTTGTTCAAACGTTCAGAAGGGTGGGGCCGGGTAATGATATTCAACATGGATTGGTCTGTTGCTTTGTTCTCAATTGCAATCTACACCCTAAGTTTAATGTCAGCTTAAATGGTGATAGTCTAGTTATAGCTAATTTTGGCAAAGACCCACTGATTCTGTGATTCTTTACAAAGGGGATTGGGTGCCGACAAATGGCCATGCCCTTGGTGAAGCAATCGTACCACCCTACTTGTGAGCCAAATTCCACTGGAAACACCACTAGGGTGGGGGGTCATTGCAAATACTCTCTTTTTGAGCATCAAAGGGTTTCTGTGCACTCCATGCCTGTTTTCTTGAAAGTACAAAATAATGTCCGGCCAACGTTCAACAAAATGTTCAGCAGTGAAACCAAGAGAACTAAAAAAATCTGTGAACCAAAGGCATTCAAAAACCTGAGATCTTAAAGTTCCAAATCAGCGGCACCACGAATTACATGAACGAACCGGATGAAACATGATGAATGAAACCCAAGCCTGAGGCCTCCAGGCCTAGGGCATCCAGGCCGTTGCCACAGACTTTGCTATTCAACAAACAAATCACCGCAGGCGCCTGTGGTGTATGAGAGGGGGTCGTCCTTCTTGGAGCCCGTGGCGTTCCTCAGAGCTTCTTCTCGCGTGAACTCATCATGGAGGATCACACGTGATCCCTTGTGTGCACTTTGTGCTGGCTGTAGGACATCCGAGTCTAATGTCACGACAGTCGGAAACTTCAACTATAAGTGTTGTGAAATGTGACAATGTGACACAAAATGCTTTACTTCGAGTATCTTCGAGTGATCCCCACCATGACATTTTCACAATCATTTGTCTTCATGCGATGGTGAGGAGCACGCTGCCATGGTCGTGAGCTTTGTGGTTCTGGATGTTGTTTGTGGGTCCTCGGGTTGTGTGTCTGTGGTTTTGCAGCTCTGTGTTTGTGATTGTGTGTTTGTGGTTGTCTGTTGGTTGAGGTCCGGCAGTGCCCAGTGCGGTCGGGAGCTGGCGTTTGAGGTGCTCGCGGTTGAGGTCCGGCGGGGAACACTGCCAAGCGGAACTCGCGGCTGAGGTCCGGCGGGAACCTTTCGACGCTGCCATCGACCGATGCAATCTCTGCCCCGATGGACTCAATGCTTTTCCGCAAACAGTCTAGCCCAAGGAATGTACAGCGAAACACTTCTTGATAAACAGAAACATGTTTTGCCAGCTTTGACAATCTCCGCACGCACGTCTTCAAGGACATGTAAGAGAGAAGCGTCGTCCACAAACGGGTCTTTCAGTGTGGACAGCGCAGAATCCAATGAGTGGTTCATGGCATGTGTGGCAGAAGCAAAACTCTGGCAAGAACATGCCTTCTTTGTCAAATAAGCTGCTGCCAGAAAGTATTTTCAGAGCCTCGCCCCACGAAAGTCTGCGCTCTGCCCTTCTGGACACAGCAATGCCTGCACCACAGCTGAAGCAAAAAGCGCAGGATACCCTTGTGCTTCAGGGGTCTGCGCAAGATCCCTTTCTGCGCCCCCGCGCTCAATGCTGATGGGGCCCGGTACCCTTCCATTCACCAATGGAGTGGGGGGACCGGTACCCTTACGCGTTCGTGTGGCGAAAACAAGTCGTGGCAATCGGTCGCACCAGGTCGCACTGCAGGAACACCTGATGCGGCCAACAATCTGAACGTGCCGGCCTGACCGAGCTTGGCCGGAACAGCGAGAGTCTGGTCCGGCCGGTCAGCCTTTTGCAGTTCGTCCACCGATTCAGCATTGCTTTTCTTGAACACGCTGCGTTTCACGCTGGCACTTTTTTCTGGAAGAATCTGATTGATGATTTCTGATTTCTTTGGGAGCATGGGCATCCTGTAGACCTCAGCCAGCCAGCGACTAATTACACAGTGCAACGTAAACAAGTCAATGTCTAGCATCTGCAAAGGGCCTCAATGTTCGGCCTTGATTCTTCCTTTAGAGATGGAAGCCTTTTGAAACCCTGCATCGTACATATAGCAAATGTGAGAATCAAAAAGGAATCCAGGGGTGAGAAACTATGACATTTGGGAGTTTACCATAGATCCGTAGTATTGGTCCAATATACTTGCGCACACCATATCACCAAAGAAACGAGTGTCTTTGGTTTATTACCTCAAGCTCCCTGATACTAGTATCGTTGAACAGAACACGTTACAGTTGGCGCAGAATCGTCAGTCTGCCCCGCATTCTTCTCCATGCTTGCCGGCTCTGGGACGAATCCACAGGTTTACGCTCTTCAAATCCACAAATCTCATCAAAGGCTCACAGTCATCGAGGCCACTGCGGCGATAATCAAGAGAATGATGATGAAACCCAGCAACCTGGGAGGTATAACTGTTGGAAAAACTGATCCAGCTCAAAGCCCTAACATGTTGTGCAAAACTCTTTGATCAGCAGTGTGGCATTTACAGTGGGGCATCGGACCCACCTGAAACGGTCGCAGATGGACCCTGGAAACGATCAACGCTCTGTGGAAGGATGTGTTTTTCGCCGTGGTACATTCCGGTTGACTAGTGACTAGTGGAAGATTGGCTTCCGCATGATCCCATCACAAATGGTCAAGTGGTTGACTGGAGGCGCTTTGTAGTCGGACAATCGGACAAGGACACCCGTGCACTCGAACTCTGAGCCATTCTCCACGAAACTACTAGCACGTAACTGGAGAAACCACACCGCATACCGCAACTAGATATTATATACCACGGCCACGCACGTGGATAGCTGCACTTCAATCAACAAATCAGTCTGGTGCCCAGTGACTGCATGATGAAGAGCATCAACAAGGTGGGCTTGGGAGGTTTGTAAAGCTCATTGAGGCCGTCCTCCTGCAAGGCTGATCGTGCTGTCCGGAGCAATAATGTTCTTCTGAAGAGAGAATCGAACGATCTTCTGTGGTGTCGAAGGAACATGTTTGTTGGAAGCTGGGTTGCTGTTTTTCAAAACTGATATAAATATAACTCAGAAACATTCTGAGTGTTTGTTGCCTGGGCAGTGGCCACTCAGGCCACTGCATGGGCTCTGTGAGTACCAACCACAGCCCTTTTGGGTTTCGACTGTGAGGGCTATGGCGGCTATGGACAACGGACCCTGGATCTCTGCTCAGAAGGGCCACTGGCCTGGCCTTGTCGGTTCATGGGAGCAATACACACTTTCTATTGGTTGAGCAGCATATCAGTGTCACGAGTGTTTATGGTCCCTGCATGGCTATGCATTCTGAGGTGTTTGTGCTCAACAGGCCCTCGGAGATGGTGTCAGGTGGTAAACATTTCAGTTCGTACTAATGTTAAAGTTCGACATGATGTGCTGGTCAAACTTGACTCGTACCCACACCCAGCAACAGTCGATCGTGACAGTGCATAAGGTTTTCCCATGTTTTCCCTTTTCAAGCTTACCAAGAGAAACGATATAGTTATTGGATTGGATTCCTGGGTGGGGGAAACACACACCCCAAGGTCCAGGCCCAATGTTGGGGGACATCTCAAAGAGGAGCTATGTTGACATCTCCAGTCCAGTCCAGCTTCTTTGGTATGCTTGCGTACGCGCCCAGGATTAATTGGACTCCCAAGTTAAGGCTTTCAAAAGGACCTTCAAAAACGACCAAAACAAATCCTTTTGGAAAAAAGAAACACCTGCGTTTCCTTTGCCCTCCTCTCTACTGGTGCTGCCCACCTTGAGCTTCTTTTCTGCTGCCTCAGAAGTCAATCCTGGCGCGTTTCTGTGGCCGCTGGGCGGTTTTCAGTACCTGTGAGGAAACAAACACGGGTGTGTCAAACCAAATGAGGCAGGCCCTCTTACCTCTGGGTGTAGATACCAAACGTTGCTGAAAACCTAATCAAATTGCATTTCAGTGAGTGTTACTTATTTTTGTCAGACGGCAGGGGATCTCCTGGATGCCCTCCCAAAAACTTACAATCAAGTAAGAACACTGGGCCGGGTGAAAGTCATCCCAGCCACCTCTCCCAACAAACATAGGACATGGGACTGGTTTCAGCCCAGGACGTCAGCGAACAGGCGTCTGTCCCGAAGCTTTTGGCTTTTTGGACAACCAAGATCACCCCGTGCTCAGATGTCCCACGTCACTGGTTGAAATCGACCACTCTAATAGGTCGACGTGCTGTGTTTATTGTGTTTACTGGATTCGAGGTGAGTTTCTAGAGTGTCCTTCTGGTCGATCCCCTTCAGACATGTGTTTGATTTGAGACGTAGCCATGCGACGAACTTCCATGGAAACTTTGGACCATGGTGGTGACAAATCTAGATATTTCTTGGCTTGAAGCCACTCCACCATGGTCAGGCCGAAAAGAACAAATCGCATGGATATTTTCTTTTTCAGCCAATCCACCCTTGCAAGAGGTGCGGTGTGTTTTTCTCAGTACTTTGCAATTTCCGAAAAGTGCGGAGTGCGTCGAGAGCCTGATCGAAGATCTGTAGAGTACCGACTAAGCACCTGAGCCGGGAAAGGCGCGAGGACACGACACACGAGGGTTGGGAAGAGGAGAGGAGAGGGTCGACGGGTCGACTTCCGGGTGACATCCCAGACCGGGAGGATGGACCATCTCTTGTGACGAAGCGTGTGTAGCACAAATAGGACCATAGGAAGACCCCCTGGAAGAAGGAAACCAAAACCCATTGATCGGGAGTCTCAAAATACGCATGCAGCATGCATATTGTATATGTTAATTTGTTCCATGTGCACCTGCATCCAAAGAAACGCCTACGTACCATTGTCATCCTTTGTCAAGGCACTTGGACATGAACGTGTTGTTGGCACTCGCTCGCCGGGATCGGTCGAACGATGTCCAAAGTGTCGGTGTCACAGCGGAACTCCGTTCCAAAAACTGGGCTCAACTCCTTTGTCCATCTAGGGTTTACTTCCTTCCCTCATCTTTTTCACAGCGTGTGAACAACATGTCAGGATTGACTCAGACCACTGAAGAGCAAAAGAACTATTTCTTCGAGTTCGAGCATGAAAAACGTTGTGGTCAACCCAAAGTCCTGGTTTGCTTTGCTCAGTTCTCTTGCACACGTGGAACGCTCTCGCAGGCGCTCCCCAAATGGGAAAACTCGCGCCAATCTTTAGAAGGTGCTTAATCGCCGCTGAACCAATAAGACATCTTCTGGCATTTGCTGGCAACTCCAGCTGGGCTCTGAGTCCTATAATGATTCACACCCCAAATTGTAAGTTTACTGCCAGCTCTATCATGATCACAAGACCAGATTTGGACGCAAGCATCGTGCCTGCTCGATGCTATCTTCGGCATCGAGCATCGCAATCTCTTCAGCAGACATTTTCAAGATGAGATCCTTGAAAGGGGGCAAAGTGACGTGAGAAACCGCATCATCGGGCTTCATGATGGAACAAAATCGCGCAACAAATCGTGAATGATCAATGGACAAATCATCCATGAAAATCATGAGATGGCCCGGCAAGTCACCTTCAAACAGCTACATTCCTGACCAACAACTACGAGTGCAGCAGGGATCTCATGAACCCGGTGCTGGTAATTAGGAGACTTGTGTCTGAAAAGTGAGTCTTTGTTCATTGGTCAATTGGGTCAGGGAACTCTCAATCAAGGAAGGATAAATACAATTGTGGACTGGTTCAAGATTCGCTCCTCATACAAGTCCTTTGTCAAATGTTGCTCACATCACCTTGTGAGAGGGCTGACTATCATACTGACAAATTATCATGTTTACCCCATCAATAAGCCTCGGGAATTCATGTATTTGTTGATCTTCACAGTTCCCAAGAGCGCAAGCCTTCGGTCCCTCACTTGTTGGTTCGCTCCCTCGATCGGTCCCTCTGTCGCACCTGCGTCCACTTCTTGGATGTATCTTTGAAGCAAAAAGGCTGCGACAAACCCTCCACGGCGAGAACCCCAAAAAGACGGTCACACCGCCATGCTAGGTTTGGCTCCCTCCTTTGATCAAATCGAATCCATAGCTCCTTGGCTTTTGCACAAGACAACCTTTGTTTACGCAAAATATTTTTTTGCAAATCTTTTGCGGCAATTAGATCCACAACCAAGCCTATAGTTGAAATGGATCCAGAGTTGATTATCGACTTCCCTATTCCGAAAAGACTCAAAGAAAGAAGACTATCATAGACTATCATTCCGAGTATATAATTGAGTCCTGGATGTACATGTGCCCCACCGGAAAAATGCACGGTGTATTAAATTATGTAACTATATGATGCTCAAGTATTTCAACAACCAGACTTCCACGGCTCCACTGAGCCATATTTTCGTGAAAAACTCCACCTCACTCTCCTAACGAAAGGTCCTTGGGGACTGCAACACCTTGCAACTCTTTTTGTAACCTCAAGTCCAGTCCTCATTCCAGCCAGCTTGTTGAACCCTGATCTAGATCCAACCGACTGACACTCCAACCGCTTCGAATGCCAAGGACCATTTTTTCGTGTTCCAGAAACGGATTCCAACGGAGGCAGCACGAGACCAATCGGACGGAAGGTTGTTGAGCAGCGCGATTTTCCTTCGTATCAACACCACAAAACATCCGACATGTCTTGGCTCATTTTGGAACTATCCAACCCAACTGGTTGCATGAAGAAACATCTCAACAGCCATGTCATCAACCATCACTGCCACGCGCCTAAAAAAACACCTGTTACCTCCCCTCCTCTCCCAACACCTGGAGGCTCCCCGGCGGCCATGGCTTTCGGCCCCGGCATGGGCAAACTCTGCAGCGGGTGGGGTGACCTGCGGCATGGGTGGCATCGCCAAGAAACCAAGAATCTAAACCTGGGGATCTGAGCCAAGTGTTGGTTTCTGTTCACGAACACCGTAGGAACTCGTCCCGGTTCTCTCCAGGCTCAAGGACCCCCCGCTCCAGTGTAGGAAAACGGAGGCCGCTACCGTGCACTTGCATGGTAGCGGAGCCTCACATCTAGCTCCTTTAGATAGGTGTGAGGTTTCCAAGCCAAAAGAGCAACGAAGCCTTAGATCCAGGGCATCCGAATCGGATTTCCTTTAGGGTGAGTTTTGTAGAGGTAGCCCCTGAGCCATGACCGTGACCAAAGGCAAGGACAACATCCCCTCCTGGGACGGCAATCCAGCATCCTGGACTGAGTACAGGAAGGCAGCCTACCTGTACGAAGAAACAGTGAAATGGGAGAACCGCTACCTCTGCGGTCCCCGGCTGGCAGCTGAACTCTCAGGAGCCGCAAAAGCGGCAATCAGCAACAAGAAGCGAGGTTGGCTCTCTCGAGAAGACGGAGTTGAGAAGCTCATGAAATGCTTGAAAGAAGCGATGTCAGAACCCGCATTACCAGAGATCGCCAACCAGCTCAGGGCCTACTTCAAGGTCCTCAGACGTCGTCGAGGAGAATCCATGGCAGCTTTCTGTGTGCGACATCGCGAAGAATACTTACTTTTATATAGTGGTATGTTTGTATTTTTTGCCGTTTTTCCCTCAAAACTAAAAAAGTCAATTTGGATGCAAAATCAATTTTCAATTCTCGTTTACCTTTGAAGAAATGTGTTCATGTCATGCTTCACCTAAGCAGCAGCGCACAGAGGCAAAACAAGTAACACACGCTAGATATTAATAATCTATCATTCACTGCACCGTTTTTGGAATGTGGTTGCTGTTTCAAAGCTCTAACTTTTCAATGAGCACCTCAAACTCGTTTGAGCCTTCCACATTCCTCGTCTACGCACAAGAAAATTACTTTTCACATTTGTGAAGATATTTGGCTTGCTCGTTGCTCCTTTGGGCCATTAATCTCACCTAGTGTAACTTCAGGGTGCGTCGTCCCAGGTGCCCAGGCCTTTGGCTGCTTCGGCCAAGGCCTGTGCACTTGTCATGACGCTATGTGAGAAGGATTCTGCGTAAAAGAAATGGAAGCGCTTATGCGACAAGTGGACTCATGAGTTTCTGTTTTGAGCCCACATGATCCTGAAGGTGGGTCATGGCTGTCAGACCAAGAGCAACCGTGGGGCATTGGTTGCAAAGCATGCAGCTTCAGCAAAATGCAGCAGTAAGTTCGCTATGTATGCTGTCAGAGAGGCAGGCTCCCTGCAGCATGAGAACTTAAAAAAACATGCGCGTACCAAGGCTCGCAAACTCTCAATGGGTGCACTACGCTTGGCTGCTTGGCTTCCTGGCTGATGCGGCCAGAAGCTATTTTGGCAGTGAGTCGACTAAGGTCAGCTTCCTGGCTGATGCGGCCAGAAGCTTTTTTAGCAGTGAGCCAACTAAGGTCAGCTATGGGGAAAACAAACCAAGTTTTGCACCAAAGCACTGGTTTTCCTAACTTCAGTCAAGTCGTCATCCATGTCCAGCTCGGTATAGTGTTTGCTTTCAGCTTGGGGCTCAAATTTGAGGCTAAGTAGATAACACTTAAAAGAGTTCAATGGCTAGCTCCTTTGCAGCGCTCATGCCTGTGACAAGTCGCGCTGAGAAAAGTTCACACGAAGAAACTCAGTTTCTGCACTTTGCAACCATGGAGCCATCAGAGGTTGCTTCTGGCTTTTCCTTTGTTCTAAGTCCTTGACCGGGTGGAATGCACAAGAAATGCCCTACTCTGGACTTGGCAACAATTGCCTGAAGAAGCAGCGGATGCGTTGGAAGACATTGTTTTTGCTTTGGATATTTGCACCACAATCACGTTGTCCGACCTTCACTCGCGACCAAAGCACAGAATCATGACTGCTCTTCCTGCGCGTGCGCCAGGCAAGACTCTGGCATTGAATAACTATGTCAAAAATAACTTTTGGCACGCTACTGAAGTGATGGCAGCATTGTCACAAAGTCGGGCGACTCACGACCGCTTCGACTGGGACACTATGTTGGAGACTTGGTTTGGGGATTTTGCCTTTGCAGTGCAGATCGCACCTGACTCCCTTTATTTGAAGACTGGCAGCTTCAAAAGTGGGATCGTGTGGCCTAAGGCTGCAGCATGCCCTTCCAAAAAGAGCAGGCTGGGCTAACTTCTTCGCAGCAGCCGTTACTTCCATTGGCTGCTTCGGCCAAGGTTGCAGGGTTTGTTGTAGGCTTGAGGTTAAGTCACTGGCTGCTTCGGCCGGGGCTTACTAATTAAAAAACCTTAGAAATTTGGAAGCGGGCAAGGCACGAGCTGACTTCTCAGCTCGACGGTGAAAAAATCGACGACAGTGCTTGAAAGGAGAGGGCGGTTTGACCTCTCCACCCGAGCTTCGGGAACGTTCTTGAACCTCGAAAGGAGAGGGCTTTGAGAGGGCGAAACAAAAATACCACTATATAATATAGTTTTGCCCATAGTTGTCCCCTCACTGCCCTCTCCACCCGAGGCTCGGGAACGTTCTTGAACCTCGAAAGAAGAGGGCGATTTGCCCTCTCTTCTCAGACTTCAAATTGCTCGTTTGCAGCCGTTTTTCACTCAAGTGAAGCAAGTTTGAAAGCTTTAGCTGCTTCGGCTAAGCTACTCCACAGCGGCCAAGACTCCATTATGTTGGCAGCTCAGCAGGTGACCTCTTTCAGGGCGTGGCCCTTCCTAAGCTCACTGGTGAATGGAGCATGAAGTGGTCGGAGAAAAAGGATCTGTATGGCAAGCACCACTTGATCGCGGTGGGCGGGCGCACAGAAGGTGGAGAGGATGAGCCAAAAATCAACGACCGAACCAAAGATTTGCCCGAGCCTGTTTGCTACTTCTCGCCACCGCTTGAGCTGATGGAGGAGCTCCTGCACACCTTCTATGCCAAGCTGGTGCTGGACTTGAGCCCAGCTGATGGAAAGTTGGCGTGGGCATGCGTCAAGACTAGGACTGCGTACATGGGCATCTGCTACATTGACACCCATGTCAAGCTGATGGAAGAACGGCTCCTGGACCTAATGAAGGTGAGCATGAAGGAGACTGCCTCGCCATTGTTCAACAGTGCCTATGCGCAAGCTGTGGGGTCAACGACTTCTTCATCGCAGCCAGCGATCCCGAAGCCCAAGCCACGCCCCAAGCCAAAGGTAAAGTCGGCTCCCAAGCCAAAGCCAGCTCCCAAGCCTAAGGCAAAACCAATGGCGGAGGCAAAGTCAGAGCCCAAGTCGAAAAAGCCGCGTCTCGAGGCAGAGCAGGCAGATGACGACGACAATGAAGAGGAGGAAGAGGCAATGGAGGAGGATGTTTGGGATCCTTTGGACGAGGGGTGAGTGGCCTTTGGCTGCTTCGGCCAGGGCCAACACCGTCTGCTGGCTGCTTCGGCCAGCGTTTTTTGAAACTTGCTGGCGCGAAAAAATTATTAGGTGTCTGGGTCTGGGTTGATAATTCAGGTCAGTCATGTATGCTTAAGTTCACAAGTTGCAAGTAAAGGATAATTGAATGTTTTGGCCCAAGGGAAAGCGTCCTTCAAAACGTGACTTTTAGTTGAATTTCACATTGCAATGCTGCGACGTCAAAATGCGCAGTTTTTCCATGATGATGGCAATAATGGAAAGGGTTGTGGCGAAACAGCTCATTTGGTTCAACAGAAACTGCTCAAGTCTTACCACCCTTGGAAGCTCTTTAAAATTACAAATGCTTGAGCAAAAGCCAATGGCCACAGGCCCACAGACTTGCTACACACATTCTCATGGAGCTTATTTAGAGGCAGGTCGCAGCTGGGTGCGCAATCACTTGCAATCTGAAGACTGGGCGATTTAAAGTGTGGCAAGCAATGCTTTTTGAACTAGGTTTCCTACAGACTGTCGCCATGCGGCTGCTCCGGCCACTGGCGGCAGCCTGTGCGTGCGTGAATGAGGGAGCAGTGCAAGTGCAAAATGACTAGCCCTGCGCTATTTTCAAGTCTCGTTTTCTCATGTGAGCTTTCTCGTGGAAGCTATTGAATTTTATTTTCACCCCATGTATGTGTAAGTGAAAGATTTTCAACAAGACCAAGATAGTACACACACCTGAAGGGGAAAATGTGATCGCAGGAATCAAACCATTTGGGAGGAGGAACGGATGAAACATAATGATGGCGTGCATCTTTGCCTTTTAGTGTTTTTGCGGTTCAGTCACCACAAAAATTTGTGACAGTTATTTTCTATTCTCGTTTTTGCAGCTCTTTCACTTCCCATGAAAACAGTCAAAAGCAGCAAAAAAAATACAAAAATACCACTATATAAAAGTAAGAATATGCTCGCACCTGCAAAGCCCTGACCCGAGTCATGAAAGAACAACGCCAACTCGGACAACAAGGACCTCAAGCCTGGCACTCCGGACGACGGAACTCCCAAGTGTCATTGGAGCCCATTCCAGAGCGTGCACCTGCTCGGTCATCACGAACCGGGGGGTCCAGTGATCGAGCAGCCGCCACGGCCTCCGAATCAGACGGACTCACTCCGACAGAGACCGTCGAGAACCCAACAGAAGAAGATGACAACACTTGGGAGGAAGATGAGACTTGGTGGTGGTGGTGGTGGTACGCCAACTGGTGGCAGTCAGAGGCGTGGAACGCCTCCCATGGTTGGGAACCACAACACCACGAGGATGACAGCACATGGGACAAGTCACCAAATGGGAGGGCGGCATGATGAAGCCTCACTATACCACATGACCAAGGGGGAATGTCTGGCCGAACTCGAGACATTCAATTGTGTGGTCACCAATCCAAAAGACTACACTCTCCAAGAGGTTCGTGTGGTGGTGCGGGAGAACCGTGTTCGTGCAGGGCTAGTCAAAGACAAGAGCTCGGAGGAGGAGGAGGATTTGATCAAGACCGTGAACAATGCCAATCTCACCGACCTCAAAGCCATGTGCATCGCCCGTGGCATGAAGGTCCCAGAGAAGGCACGTGTGGGAGAACTACGCCTGTGTCTGAAACAGTGGCTGGTTCAGAGCGGCACCGGACAGACGGTGTACAAGCTGGGAGGCCGAGTCAATGGCATGACCTTCCACGAGATCGCCCTGTCCGACCCAGCATACCTCCAGTGGGCCAAGAAGGAGACCACAGAAAAGGGGGCGAACTCTCACTGGCAGCTACGGCAGCTGGTCCATTGGTCCGAGAGGATGGATCGGGACGAAAATGCCACCACGATCACTCAGGTGCAACGCCCCGACCTCGACGGGTTCGCTTCGCCGATGAAGAAGAACCAGGGCAGCTACCAAATCACCGCAGCTTCACCGCCAGAACCGGCGGCCAAGAGCCCAGAGGTGAAACAGGAGCCAAATGCCACACAGGCGGCGATCTCCGGCGAAGTCACCACCATGATCCAGACCATGAAGGAGTTGACGTCCATGGTGGGTGTGCTCCAGCAGAATGTGGCCGAACTCCAGGAGAAGGACAAGCCCCGGAAGGCTCGCAGCACCACAAGCTCAGCGGGCTTCGAGAAGTTGGAGAAGATGGGGGACGACCTGTATATAGAGACCACGTCTCACCTCCCGGAACGCAAGGACGACCACTTGCGACAACAGGGAGATAGGATCATCCCGGATGCATGGACAGCTCTCACGAAACGGGACCACGAACTTTTCCTTGTGGAGCTGGCCTGCTCTGAACATTCTGTACTGTCGCAGGAAGCTGAAAAACAGGGTCTCAAAGCGGAACGACTCTCGTGGTGGAACGGATGTGATCTCACTACGAGTGAAGGGGTTCGGAAAGCCGTGAAAACGATAGAGGAGAAACGCCCCAAATTTTTGTGGATCGCCACCGAGTGTGGACCCTTCAGTCCGATGCAAAATCTCAATCAACGCACTCCCCAACAAAAGGAAGACTTGAAACGCAAACAAGACCACGCCAGAAGACAACACATCGGTGGACTCGTCGCTGCGGAAGCCGCCGTCCGTCTCGGGTGTGTTGTGGTGTGGGAGTGGAGCCGTAGGTGTCGGGCGTGGAAGTGGGAACCAATCGAAGGTGGAGACACAAACATAACACGCACACGGCGATTGTTTCCGGGTGTCAGGTGAACCTCAAAGACCCGAAGACTGGTAGGAAACTCGGCAAGGAATGGCGTATGGAGGTGACACATAGGGGACTTGGGGAAAAACTGCATTGCGTTTGTAAGTGCCAAACTCATGAACTCCCACACGCCACTTGTGAAGGAAACTTGACCCGTGCTTCGGCCTACTACACGCCGGAATTCGCTCGCCGTGCGGTGTTGCACATGTCACGTTTGTTGGATTCCCAAGAGATTCATCGGTTGATTCAGGAAGACCCTCATGCCCAGGACAACCCTCGGTGTAGTCAGGGATGTGACTGTAAACAGGTTCGTAGGTGGAACAGGGAACTGTCATGTTTTGACTGTATGTGTGACCAACAGGGTAGGATATATGCGGCTGAACAAGGGGTTATAGCATGGAAGACATGTCGGACGAACGTCGGATCGCGCGACTCGACCCTCAAGAACGAGATAAAATCCTCCGACAGATCTCCTTGGTACATAGCTCAACAGGACACGGCAGTTATCATTTGTTGGTTCAAGCGCTCAAAAGGCAGCAAGCCAGACCAGAAGTCCTGGCCTTGGCACGAACTTTCCGGCGCAGCGCCTGTGAAGAGCGAAAGAGACCTGATCCCAGGTCCAGAGCCAATTTGAAAGTGTTCACTGGCCATTGGAAGAGCATCCAGGTGGACGCAGCCTTTTGGAGGAACCCCCAGGACAACAAACAATCCCAATTTGTTGTACTGTTGGATGAAGCCAGCCGTTTTTTGATTCCGGGACACAAACGTGGAATTTCCCCTCAAGAGTATATCGAGATATTTGAACAAAGGTGGAAGCCCTTTTTTGGAGTGCCGGATGTGGTGAGGAGTGATCCTGAAGGTGCCTGGCGTTCACAGGTCATTCAGGATTACTTCACTGGTCAAGGCATCATGCTGGACATCATCCCCGCCGAGGCTCATTGGAACCTGTCAAATGTTGAGCGTAGTATTCAGTGGGTGACAGAACTACTATCTAAACTTGCTCAAGAATCAGACATGGATGTTTCCAACCTGTTGTCACATGCCACCTACATTTGGAACCAGCATGAAAATGTACGAGGATACAGCCCGTTTCAACATGCTTTGGGACGACATCCTGATGCAGAAGGAAGGTTCTTCGAAAACAGGTTGCATGATGTACCCATGGAGATGATCCAGCACCCTGACGGTGAGATGGAACAAGCAGCACACCTGAGAACAATAGCTGCCAAACAATTTTTTGCTTGGCAGCTGAAAAACAAATTAGGCCGTGCTCGCAACTCACGACATCACTCCTTCAAAGATCTTTGCCCAGGAGACCTAGTTTTCTACTGGCGCACACAAATTCTGGGAAACGAAAAACAATCCTGGAACCGTGGCCGATACGTCGGCCCAGCGCGAGCGCTCGCCTTGGAAACCAGGAATGATGAGGACGGGCGACTGAGCCCCTCCAGTGTGGCTTGGTTGGTGAAGGGCAACCGCATAGTGAAGGTGGCTATTGAACAAATTCGCCATGCATCAGCACGTGAACAAAACCTCCATGAACTAGCCAGGCCACCACAACTCCCGTGGACATTTACAGAACTTTTGGGGGATGTGAAACGAGGAGTGTACCATGATCACGTTGAAGCTGGACCCAAGCCATACAAGAGAGCAGCCATAGAACCAGAAGAAGGAGAACATCCCACAGGTCGCCGCCGCTTCGACTCAAAACAACCTCCGGCTAGGTTAGATTTTCGAGGTCGAGCACAGACGGACAGACCGGAGACACAGGACGACAATGACTACTCTCCTAGTCTACCTCCGGAACCACGAGAAACAAGTCCTCCGTCACGAAGCCGTAGTCCTCGAGGGTCTCTACCACAGGCTACCAACTGGCAAGAGGAGGTCAACCGCTCATTCTGGGCACAATCAGAAAACAGTTTTTGGCGACACTCACAGGCATGCGTGGAGATTGACATAGAACTCCCACGACAGGATCGAGGTTGGAAAAAGCTGTTTAGGAACAGTCAGTCCTTTTTCATCAGTGCCTTGAAACGGAAAAGCATTGAAGTCTCCGAGCGTCGGTTGAGCCAAGAAGAACACGAACAATTCCAAGGAGCCAAACAAGTGGAAGTGGACAAGTTTATTGTCTCAGAGGCTTTACAAGCACTCCCTCCTCATCTCCGACCGAGCAAAGAGCAAGCATTGAGAATGCGATGGATTTTGGTTTGGAAAAAGAAAGAAGATGGGTCAGTGAAACCAAAAGCCAGGGCAGTTGTCCTGGGTTACCAAGACCCTGATTATGCCAATCGGCCCACCTTTGCACCAACGATGACACGACAAACCCGTCAAGTGCTGTTACAATGGGCAGCCAATCATCAAGCAGAGGTGAAGAAGGGAGACGTAGCTGCTGCGTTCCTCCAGGGGAGGGAATTCGCCAGGGACCTCTACCTGATTCCCACACCTGAAATATGCAGCGCTATGAACTTAGCTCCGGAGAGCGTAGTGAAAATGAGGAAGGCCTGCTACGGATTGGTAGAAGCGCCGATAGAATGGTTTGAGACCATGAACACCTTCCTACAATCCCAGAACTTTGAGCAGTTGAAATCGGACCCCTGCTGTTGGAGACTTCGAGATCCAACCACCGGTCAAACCGTAGGATTGGTTTCGGGGCACGTTGACGACTTTCTCTTCAGTGGCCTTCCACAGAACAAACAATGGGAGACGGCTGAGAAATCAATACGTGAGCGCCTCAACTGGGGAGAATGGGAGGTGAATGACTTCATCCAGTGTGGAGTCAGAGTCCGTGCTCAGAAAGACCACAGCTTTTGGCTGGATCAAGAGAAATACGTCCAAGACATCCAGGAGATACACATCCCCAAAGGCAGACGCGAGACTCCAAAGGAGTCAACGACTGACGCCGAGAAAACAGAACTCAGGGGACTTCTGGGAGCTCTTGCGTGGCACACCAGTCAGGTCGGTTTCCGTTTTTCTTCTTACACCAGCCTCTATCTGTCGGAGGTGAATTCTAGCACGGTGGAAACCATGATGGAAGTGAATGTTTTGTTGCGAAAAATTCGAAATGTGTCTCATGAGCCCATGAAGATTTTTCCTTTTGATGAACATGAGAACCCACAACTGTACTGCTGGACCGACGCCAGCAACCAAAACAGACATGATGGGAGCAGCACGAAAGGTATCCTGGTCGGGATGTCAGGGGACAAACTCGAATCGGGAGAAATCGATCGTGTGTCTCCGTGGCTTTGGCAGAGTGGTAAAATCGATCGGGTGTGTCGGTCGCCGGGTTCGTCGGAAGCGCGCGCTTTCATCGACGGTGAGGATATCCTTCACATGTTGAGATTTCAATGGGGTGAAATCATGGGACATGAAGTGGACATCCATGACATCGACAACCATGTGAGTCGGGTTGGAGGGGTGTTGATCACGGACAGTAGGAATGTCTATGACAGGGTTGAAAAACCTTACATCACCCCCAAAGGTGCTCAGAGGCGAGTGGACCTGGAGCTTTTGACCATCAAAGAAGCCCAAGCGCGGACAAAGCTGCGCATTCGTTGGGTGAGTTCCCAGGCCATGTTGGCCAATTCTCTTACCAAAAAGGGGGAGGACGCTCAGTTGGGACGTTTTGTTCAAATGGGCCAAGTTTGGAGGATCGTGGACGACCAAAATATGTTTTCGGGACGTAAGCGGATTGCTATGGGGAAATCCGTTCCGGAATGAATCCCGGATCCAAGATGCGGAAAGCCTAGGCTTCTGATTTTATTTACACCGAGGTTGTACAGACCCGGGCATGCAATTTCTGTTCACGAACACCGTAGGAACTCGTCCCGGTTCTCTCCGGGCTCAAGGAGCCCCCGCTCCAGTGTAGGAAAACGGAGGCCGCTACCGTGCACTTGCACTATATATATATATATCATGGAAGTGGACAACCACCTGTTTGTACATGAAAGTGGTCATCCAAGTCCAAGTGTAGGCAGTGTACCATTCTTCCAACAAACATGGAAGTGGACACCCGATTTACTGTAGAGTCTATTAGAGGACAATCGTCTGTCCAGGGGACATTGTCCATTTCCACGAGTGTTGGAGAAAGGGTAGTGGTGCAAGGATATGGTTTTGGATTGTTGGTCATGCTGAGTGGTACTGAAAGCCCGCCCTTCAAAGATCTTCAACATATTTGGTACACTCTGGGTGGCAAGCACGGGGGCGCTGGAAAATAAGCCAGATCGGCTGAGATTCGTCTAGCAGGGGGACACACTCTCAGGGATCACTCTCCATTGCGGCCAGGCGATCAAAACACCACCTGTATGGGCAAAAACGGGACCTCGTTGCCTCACAAGTTTCAGAAGGGTGCAACGTTCAACACCCGTGAAGAGGCAACAAAGAATGCACCTGGTGGATAGCCTGCTTTGAAAAGAACATACCCCTACGCCTTGAGGCAAAACATGACAAATACACGATTATTCGTTTGGTCATGCACAAGGGATCAAAAAGGTTTGAAGAAGGTCCATCCTTGCAAGTGGATGGTTCAAGTGGGATGGTTCACAAAAAGTGGTCCTTTCTGTATATGACCCATCCATCGCGGGGTCTTCCAGCACACCGCCCCGGCTGATGGAGAGGAATTGAGGAGAATCCATCCGCTGAACTCAGCGGCTCTTGGAGTCTTGGAGATCATATTCAAATTCTATTGATATCCTACATGATGATCTCCTACAGATCCTACATGTATATGCTACATGTATGTGTCCATATGTGTCCTGTTTTGGGGGGGATAGAACCAGGTTCTGATGACTGGGGGTCAAGACCGTCGAGGACCCCCAAACCACAATAAACTATGCTAGCTTCAGTCCTCCAAGAACAGTTCCTTCTCTTCACGTTCTGCAAAGACCTCCACCACCGTCCACCCTCTCGTTCCACCTGCCATGGCAGCATCCACCACGACCGGTCACTCCCCAGGTCACCCCCCACCCCAGAGAGCCAGCCTGGGAGAGGAGTGATGCGACTCGCACAGCAAGGGGTGCGATCGGTGCGAACGCACCGAACTCGTGGCGGCTCGCCTCAACGTGGGCGCAGCACAGAAGAAAGGTGGGTCAACCTGTTCCTGGTGTCATGACCAGCCATCTCCCTTGGTCGGACACCTCCCTTCAGTCCAGTCCGCCTGGTCTGAAGCGCTTTTCGCCAAAGACCCTCCTGCGGAAGCTGGCCGCGTGTTTCGTGCAGGAGACTTGTTCGGTGTTGGCGATTTAGGAGGTTGGTGGGGTCGCTTTGAACGATACACTATTGTACACATGGAAGATAACGTTCCGCGCCACTTAACATGCAGAGCATGTACCCCACCAGGGCTAGCAAGCGCGATGGTAGTGAAACTCGGCACCCATCTTTTGCCTCTGGCCCAAAGTGTCAACATCAAAAACACTTCGACAATCCTTGACCATGTATGCAAGTTCCATTCTTGGGCTGCTCGCCCCGAGCAGACTACCCTCTCAACAGGCGAGCCCATTGAGGGCGAAATAAAATGAAATAAACTAAGACTTCATTGGCTTGTGATTCCTCTGTTGCTCTTGTTGGATCATCTCTCACTCAGCACAGGGGACACCCACAACGGTGACCCCTTTTTCGTTGCCCTTCCCACCACGGTGACGGTCCGCGTCCACGGGCGCGTAGGAGCCAGCGCGCTTCAAGCCCACGCCCTTCGGTGCGTCCGGCGCTTTGGGCCTCGCCCCGGTTCATCGGAGATGGCTGGGCTGGGAGACTTCGGTTTTGAATGGAGCAGCGTTCGAGAGACATGATGGGGGGTTGGATAGGTCTAGAGTCTAGAACATGAACAAACATGCTAGCTTGGACAAATCAAAAACCAAAATGGGACTCCAAAGCCTTCCCTTTCGGGTTCCGGGTTAAACGGTTCGTTCTTGGAGGAGTATCTGTCAACTACCGAGTATTCAACTGTCTTGTCATGACCTCAACAGCTCTGTGTAGAACAGTCAGTCCCCAAAGCCAGAGCACATATTTGTCAATGCGACTGCTTCGCGGCTCACTGTGGATCTGAACCAAGAACACACTATATAGATCGAATCTATTATATATATATAGTTGGTACGATCAGTGACGCCACAAATGACTATGATGTTTGTCTGATATGGTTGCTGGGAGTTCGCATCAAATGACTGGTTCCCCAGAAGATCCGGGAGCAGGACACACCTCTTTGAACTTTCCATCGGTGACCTTATTCATGGAGTGCTGAATGGCCTTATTCATGGAGTCTTAACAAAGACTTTGAAGGTCCTAGTGATGCATCCCAGTGCTTCAAAGGGTCATCCCCAGCCTCAAGGGTTGGACTTTCAGGCTGGAAATGGGTCAAGTGATCTGACTCTGCACTTCTGCAGTTGACTCAAACGTAGATTCCTGCTTCCAAATCCAGGCTTTCTCAATGTGTTTGCCGAACCTCCAGAGATGTTGATACCAATTTCGATGGGCATCTACTCGCCTCTATTCTATAGTATACTGCTTGCTGGATTGTTCGCTGTCCCCTCACTTGCGTTGTTTATGTAAATCTTTGCTCAAAAGGCTCTTGAAGGCAGGCCTTTGGTGTAGGCTAAACATGGAATAGTGAAACCAAACAAATCACAAAAAGAAGGACACCTTCCCTAATTCAAGATGCCTGTGCAAATTCTTTGGCTTTGCCTCATCTACTCCAGGGGTTCACCCCCATCGTTCTTTGGTGCTCCCGTGCCGAAACGCTTGGCTTCCGAAAAACCCTCTCGCCCCACCCTCGATCCGCCGCCGCCCTCCGTCCGCTCAGTCTGGGCAGCGCCGCTTGGTCTCCCAGAAGAGGTTCGCCAGGCCACGGAAGGTCTCCATGGTCCTGGGACGTGTGGGTCGACGTGCCCGACAGGGTAGAGAATGAACCGACACCGGAGATTGCTGGGACTCCAACTCCTGAAGATTCCTCACGGCTCTTTTCGGCAGAGCCTCTGTTTGGAGGCCGAATTCTAAGTTGGGACATGCGTCCACCCGTGTCCACCCGTGTGCCCCGGTTTGGGGCACTTGACACCCAAAAGCACTTTCGTTTATCTTGCGAAAAGCACATTGGCCATCGCTTTGCAGCAGTCCCACCCCCTCGTGGCGCCCCCACCTGGGTGCTTTCTGACGCAGCACAGGCCTGGGGCATTCCGCCAGGCCTCACCACATCGGGTGAAGGGTGCGTGTCACGGTGCGTGTCGAACCAGAACGTGACACAAAAGCAGAATAAACTATACCTGGTTCATAACCAGGAGTCAGAATAAAGCTAGTGGTAAGCAGAATAAACTGTATGGATGTCAGAGTTGAGGATTTCTTGATAAAACAGTATAGTTGAATAAAAACTCTGGTGTTCCACGGTACCTGAACTACTGCGAAGCACTCTGACAGTGGTTTAGACGTTTGGAGTAATTCAAGCCCTGCGATAGTAATTGCAGTAGTTACCCTGAGACCAGGGACCTAATTATTAGGATATAAGATGCTATGAACAGTGTGCAGAGTACAATGTGCAGTATCTCTAAGTTTCTTCAGGGCAACTTGCTTGAGCCACACCCATTTTCCTGCGGGTGTTCTTCCAAACCACTCTTTGGAACTGGCAAATCATCCCGGTTTTGTGCACCCAAGAGGCTTAGGAGAAGGAGGTGGGCAGAATATGAGACTTCATATACGGAGGACTTCACATCCTAAGCTTCCAGCCTGCGCCGGGGCCCAGGTGATTCTCCATCTCCTGCTGGCTGAAGCGGAAGCCGGAAGCCAACCACGGTGTATTTTTCTCATGAGGGGATGAGTCAATCATCCCTTCCTCCTTCCCCTGACAGCATCATTACAGTTGTCCTTCAGCTCTGATCTTCCACAGATCCCGCCGCGAGACCGATCCCACAGGTCTCGCTCCGTGAGGCCGGCAGGAAGATCGCTGAGCTCGAATGGCAAGGGACAAAGAACCTGGCATCTTCGTGCCATGAAGCTTGGATGGAAGCTTGGATGATGGCGGATTGCATGGGTGGGTTCACGGCTTCTGCAAGCGGTTCATGGATGTGACTTGTGATAGTTAGAATTGTCAGGAACAAATTGAGACCTGAGACATTCCGAGACCTTGTGAGGACACCCACACCATCCGGTTCAGCCCTGCCAACGCGCGACGCATGCGTTCCCGATTCGGTCGGCGGTTTTTCGGCGTCGTTCCAGATTCACTGACGTTGGTGTAGCAATCGTCGGGCGATTTCTTGCCACCATTTGCCACCCACATAATTCATGTCGTCCATTTTAAGTTGGAGGCTGCAGCTAGACGGCGCGTACCGAAGAGGAGGAGCTACATACAGCTGAAGCCAGAGACTCGAGCCAAACACTTCTTGCTTCTTCCCAACATTGACTGCTGGAAACACAGAAAGCCAGTGGTTACGTGGCAGGGTGTGTAGGCATGGGCAGGCACTTCTGCACCACATGGTTCCTGTTCATCTTGGACCCGGTGGTTTCTCTTCATCTAGGACATGTGTCGTGCTTCATTGATCCTTCGCAGCATCAGGAGCTTTCTGATTCGCTGGAAGTAGAAGAGCTCAAGTTGTCCTTCTCGGGAGTGAGCTTCAAGAAATCTTCCTTCTCCTTCTGCAGGATGCGGCGATCGTATGGGAAAGCCCAGTGCAAAAGGATGTAGAAGAATAGACCTTGCTCGACAGCTGGGCGCATGAATGCTAGCTCGACAGCTGGCTGTTGATGTTGGGTGTGGCTTTCCACCCCATGAAAGCCACTCACTCACCCGATCGTGCACCGTTGGTCTACGTGCTTTGCGGTTCAAATTGGGTCCGTGGGTCCCTGCCGGGTTGAGGATTGGACGATCGTTGGATGTCAAGGGTAGCCGTACCCCCAAGACTCCCCTCGGCCACAGCTGGCAGCCACAGCAACCAAATACTGCAGTCAGGACATCCAAAGCTCTGACTGGGGCTTTGTAGAGTGAGTGGCATGTTTGCAGCAGGGGTACACTGGGCACACCATATGAACTGAAGAACCAAACAAAATCCCCCAATCCTCTGAGGGTCCAATCTTATCATTCACAACAACTCCTTCAACTGGACCTTTTGCTGGTCATGGAGAGATCTATTCGCAACTCCGCTCGCTCACATCTAATGCTCCAGGTTGCAAAGAGTCCATGGCAAGACGGAGGTCAAAGCCAATGCTTTACCCAAGGCCTCTGCATTCTGTGCTTTACCTTGAACTTGCAAATCGCGAAAAATGTCGGGAATCAAGCATTGGGAGGAGGTAAAACCCTGCATGGATTCACCGACTCAAAGAATGTCACAAGAGTAACACCACTTCAAGTATTTCAAAAATAGGTCCAAGCTCATCCGAGGCAACCTTCCTTGGCCAAGTTAAACCCAAAGACCACTTGTGCCAACAAGCCCACCAGTGCATTCCCCAAACACGCTGCTACAGCGCCCTCCATCGCACTTTCCCAGGCCATGATTCCACTCCTGGGACTGGGCGAGAAAGAATGCGAAATGGATCATCCATTCTTCCCTACAAATGGAGTCGCAATCGATCTGCAGGGAAAGTAGATCATCTGCCACACTGATGTGGATGTGGATCATGTGACATCATGTGACCCTGTGCCGCTTGCCCTGACATCATGGGTTGCTCATTCTACTTACCACTTACCACGAGAACTGGGGTTTGACAGCAGCTCGAGTGGCTGAATGACAGAAAGTCAAAAAGGAATCACGCATTTTACAAGATAGAAGCCCCTCAACAATGAAGCGCCTCATCAATCATATTGTGCTTCACCCTTAATGAACCCGCATCTTACCACGACGACCCCACACTCAGCAAGATCCTTTAAAACAAAGAGTTGCATCCGGTGGAAAGTTCCACTCCAACTCCCCCAGCTGCATCCCCATCCCAGCTTTCGTCGTTCAGTCCTGGATTGGGGCTCCACGATCTCCGAAAGGATGGGCCAATTCACGCCCACAGCACACCAGGTGGCACCCAGGCCTCCAGGGCATGGCAGGGCATGGTATGCTTGGCACGGCAGCGGCTGTGGGACGGTCGAAAGCCACGTCGCCGCCGAGGCGCGAACGTCAGTTTTTTGAAACACCGAATGTAAGTAGCTACATAGAAAGGATCGACCATAAGTACCTCCAATAAGTAGCTAGGTCGGCTATAAATACTAAAAAAGAAACACCCTTAAAAATGCAACGATCGAAAAGATTGAAACTCGATACTGTACTGCATCTTCCATCGAAAATCAATGAAAATCACCACGCAACCATCACTGTTGGAAAGTTCCCTTTGAAAATAATTTGGTGCGTGCCTAAGATCACGAGGAAGATGGCGTAGTAGGTGAAGGATTGATGGGTCGATAAAAAGATGAAGATGGCGCAGGGAATCCCACAGGAGACCTGAGTGCAGGGCAGGACAGCAGAACTCAACTGCGGTTGGACTGCAATGTAATGAGGTTCGGGGCACAAGCAAACTGGAGCCACGGCCATGTATGCGACTGCACCTGTAGGCTCATACAGAACTCAACTGCTTAACTGAACCTCGACTGTACCTTGGAACAAGGATCCGCAGGTACTAAAAGTCGTACGTTAGCTAGAACATGCTAGAACTGCGCACCTACGTCCAGCTTGTGGGCTTCTGTCGAACGTCGTGCTAGAAAAGCAGTGTCCCCAAACCCCAGGGTGGTTTAGCTTCCCCAACAAACATCGAGAAGCTACTCGTAAATAGATCAAACCGGATCAAACGAGCTCGTTTTTGTCTATTGATGTCTAAGTCTTTCGTAGATCTTGTAAGGAAACCAAGCCCTCGAAAAGGTGAGGCAATAGGATCCGGAACTAGCAGGGTCAACCCCCTTCCAAAGCATCGCGCAGATTGCTGTTTGGAGCCTTCCGGGCTGTCGGTGGACTCGGTGCACCTGTGCATCTCGCTTCACCTCCCGAAACGCCTGAGCTCAGCACTCCACCCTTCTCCACCGGGTGACTGAGAAGTTGGCTGTGAAGGGTCGTCCGTGCAGCGGGCAGCGCTTGGCCATGGCATCTCCAATGAAGCCGCCCAGCAAATGTCCAGTGGCGTTGGAGAGGTGTGCTAACCTCGAGTTCTTTTGGAGCCCAGGGGGGTTCTGTTCTGGATTTCTTTGGAAACTTTGGAATTGTGGGTTCAAAGGATTTCAAAGGTGTTCCAGGTTGTGGTATTGGTTTCTTGGAACTTGGATTTCTCACCATTCCGGATGATTCCTGGATTCCTGGAAGGGGGTTCTTCAACTCCCGATTTCTTGGATTTCTGCAGCTCAACAGCATTTTTGACCTTTCGGGGAGTCTGACTCGGTTACAGCTCGCGCCGTCGACTCTCAACATGTAGGTCTTGGTGTCCAACAATCAAACGAGCACTACTATATATACAAACCATATTACAAACATTTACAAACCATATTCACCAAATCATATTCGCGTCACTTCTAATTTCTAATTCATCATCGTTCCCTGCAGGCCTTCATTTTGGACGATTCGGACCCGACTTGAAGCATTCCTGGCAAACCGCTCCACACCGCCGCGGTCGCTCGACGGGGATCGCTCCGAGCCACGTGCTGAGACCCGCCGCCGCCGCATCCGAGAGACCGTTGACTTGAAAGTACCTGTGACTGTCGAGGATCGGGTCCCGCGAGGGACATCGAAGAAGGACTGGTACTGGAAGTGCCAGCGAACTGGGGAGTAGGACATGTACTGAGATGTTTCCTCCAATTGCTGAAGCTGTGTAATGATTTGATTGTACTTGAAGGATCCTGAACCTCGGCCAGGGTTGTTTCTTGACCATCCACTGAATGCACGTAATCAGCACCATGCCGGACCTCCAAAATTCGATTTAAGGGTACAAACGACCCTTGGCACGTTCCAAAGAAATAAATTTGGCAAAATGTCGAATGTTCACCACCACTTGAAAAGACCGGGCTAGGAAGTTCTCACAGATTCGTGTGGGGCCTCTAGTCTAGCCAAAGTGAGTCTCAGCAAGACATCATGGCTCACAGTGCACACATCCTTAAGCATCCCAAGATCACTGAATGTGAGCAAACAGGCCTACCTCCACCATCCTCCACCCTCCAAAACAACACTCTCAGCTCACTAAATTGATGAATGGATATAAGGATGCGGTCCAGCAGCATGGTTGAATAGCCGAAGGCATTCCATGGGATGGCTCCGAAGAGGCCCTGCCCCACCAGGCAAAGGAAGGTCGGCTTCCGAAAGTAGCCGCCCAGCTTTTGCATCTCCTCAGTCCCGGATCACAGACGTCGATTTCCGAAAAGGGCAATGACTCATGACTACATCTGCTGCTTGGCTCAGAGCTGCTTGGGGTAGAAACCCCAGCAGCTCAGTTAGAGGCTATCCGTTCTACCAGGTTCTTGGAACCCGGCCCTGCTTGGTCGAAGCAAACCCGTTCGTTGACCGAACTCAAAGAGCCCATAAAGGGCAAAGAAGAAAGGGTGACCGTGGGTGTCTCTTTTTCCGAAGACCCCCCCCAAATACCAACTACCCGCAGTATAAAGACATTAAAATACCAAGCGAAAGACCCAAACCCATTGGTTTGGCCGGCTCCTCATGACATCTCATGACCAAATCCCGCTGAAGCTGAGTCGCCTCTTTAGCACCTGCACATCCAGCTCTGCCTCCACTGCTCCAACTCTTCTCCCGGCGCGCCTCACGCATGAAGACCTGTGTGTCCAAACACAGAAACAGAAAAAAGTGAAGAAAACCTGCAGTGCTTGGATCAGTGGAGGCAGAGGATAGGATTAGATACACAGGACCTATCTCCCGGACCCCTTAAGATCCTATCTAGTCCTATTTAATCCTGGTCTCCATTAGATAGGATTAGATAGGATCGTAATTGATCCTTTGTATGTTCTTTTTTTCCGAAGGGGTCCTCACTTGTGGGTTTGGCTCTAAAAATTGAATTTCTAGGCAAACTCCACAGCTGAACTCGTTATGAAGGGTCGATCCTACTTGGGGAGAGAAGCCGTTACACGCTGTCAGTGCACCTCGCATGATCAATGTTTACAAACTGCAGGGGGGGATCTTTTATGATGATATCATCCCCGCAATCTGCCTCCACTCCTGATATATGTTGTTGCTGCTGGTGCTGTTGCTGCTCTAGACTCTAGATATATACTGCAATTGTCGTCGCGCTTGTCGTCCTTGTTGCGATGGCTCTTCTGTTGTGGGTAAGACATCGCAATCGCTGTTCAACCGGCATGTTGATTGTCCTCCCCGCTCTTGGGACGTACCCACAGTCTGGACCGGGTGAACAAACGCCTCAAAAAGCAAATTATTATATGCTGTATGTATGTATATATATATTATCTGATATGGTCAAGCTTCATCTATCTTCAGGTGAGGCAAACGATCTTCAGCCAAAATGGAAATGAGTTTGACCGCATTATGCCTGCCTGGATTAAGAAGGCCGTGAAGAGGCTAAAACTGCCAATCAAAAGGAATGCCACTTGCCAACCATGAAGCCCCAGAATCTGTTGGCGCGACATGGGCGTGCCAATCCTGAGAAGCGAGCGAGGGGAGAATTCCAGCCATCTGGGAGATGCATATCCCAACTACTTTGAATGGATCCAGCAATCCTCCATCACGCTCTGTGTCACTCGTAGCGGTGCTCGTCGCAGCCCCGCTGGACGAACGTTCCGGCAGTTGTTGGTATCCGCTCCGAGTCCAGCTGACCGACCCGTTCGAGGTCGACGAAGGAATCCGAAGACAAGGAATTGGGGGGAGGGGTCCAAATGGCGGCGGACAAGGTATTTGGAGTACTTTGGAGTACCTCTTGAGAAGGTCGGTCTGTCTTTGGGGCTGCTTCAGTCATGTTCTATTTGAGGACGGGTTGTAAAACGTTGCCTTAAAAAGCCAAACACATGAAACAACGGATTTTGGAATCTTGGAGCCACAAGATTCGATTGAGCTGAGCATCAAGGCAGCAGCCATCATGCCAAGCTTTACGCACAGCTCTAGATACCCATATTGTCGTCCTCGCAAGGTCTCTGCAGTGGTATCTGCCACCAGCCCAACACAAAGAGGTTTCAAGCTGGCCAGTGCGGCGCCATTGAGAATTCTCAGCAGCAACATGAGACTGAAGCCTTTGGTGAAGGCCAGCAACACAGTGCAAAGTCCTGAAGGGCAGCACACATGACACACGCAGGGAAAAAACAAGATCAACAAGATAGTAGTGAGTTGGCACGCCATTCAGAGAAATCTGAAGCTTCTAAACACCCAACCACCCAAGAAGACTTCTAAGGCCCTCTGCAAGACTCTGTTCTCAGCTTGTTGCCCGTCCTTGGATTAGAGCGCCGAGACTCAGAAGTGTCTTCCGCCGCAGCACTTTTCGATCCGCCAAGACGCCCCAAAGAGGTGCCAACAACGCCTGTGCGACGGCCTGGGCCAAAGTCATCCAGGAGAGGTCTGTGAGTCGTAAGCCGAGGTCCTCACAGCTGGAGAGAGTCGATCAAAGCCAAAGGCGGTACGAAAAGCCGCCAGGGTCAGGACATGAGGGATGAGTCACTCCATGGAGCAATGGAGCCTGCAAAACTTGGGAACCGTTTCTACATGAATTCAGTGATGTTCCAGGGCCGGCAGGTTTGTAGCGAATGGCCCATGGCAAGTACATGTAGAACAGATCTGGGTGGACGTAACACTTTAATTTACCGTACGTCAGCTGTTGCTGCCGTTGTTCTTTCTCCGCACAATGTTCCATGGACTCGACCGGAGAATTCTGGCCGGTTGGACAAACTCTCCAGATAGGTGTAGTTCATTGTCATTGTAGCATACAGTCCCCTATACCATCTGCACCGAAGAAACTAGACAACCCAGCCCCCCAACACAGCCCCACCGTTTGACAAACCCTACCCCTACAGTCCCCTGTTTCATCTGCACCGAAGAAAACAGACAACCCTGAAAATCATCACCATGATCACCCAGCAGACTTGCCAGGCTAAAGTGACGTTGGATCTCTCCAGCCAGTTGATCCAGTGGATCTCTCCACGCGAACGCTCACGAGCGAGCGAAACCAGCGGTCCTGTTGCAGTGCCAGGTTCACCGCTGGTAGCAAACCCATATCCATCCCTTCAATGGCAGCCACACAGCAAAGCTGCAGGATGAGCATTGTAGGTGGGGCTCGGTGGTGCTCCGAAGCTCCGTCAGTCATCATGGCATGGCAAGTGTGGAACTTGAGCAGTTCGGGATCGTGCACATGGTGAGTTCAACAAATCAACCAGCCACATGAGACCCACTACTTGTGTAGGCCCCCGAAGAAAGAACATTATGTCTTTTTCATTCACTACCGCTTCAGCCCATATCTATATATAATGAATATATGTGTTATTTGTGGACGCAGTGAATCTTGCCCACATCAGTTTGAACGGGCAAGAGCCTGAAACGAGATGTTTAAAGAAGAGACTTACTGGAGACACTCATAGTGACATGTGGCTCCATTCGTGTACACATCCAAGTAAACCGAGAGTGTGTCGCACGCAATGGAGAGTGAGAACAACATCCGAGTATCTTAAAGCAACTGCTCCTCTCTGTTGAAAAGAGGTCTTTCCATTCTCCTAAGGCATGCTCCAGAGTTTCTTTATCTCACCTCTGATTTCTAAAATGTGCACAAAAGAAGAAATCTCCAGTGCACATGCTAGTTGATTCTGGTCAGGATCTTCGGATCGGCGGATCGCCAGCAGGTTTTCTTCATTTGCCGGTGTTTTTCGCCCAAAGCAGTCTCCAAAAAGACTCCCCTACGGTCGTTCGTTCGGGGTACCTCCGTTCGCCCGGAGCGCCTCCGACTCCTTGAGGGCCACATCACTCAAAGGTTCGCTGGAGGCCTGGAGGAGCCCCGGCGGGTCAACGGCCAAATACACTTCAGCAAAAAAAAACAGATGCAGGATGCGGATCAGATCTAAAGTCAAAACTGGAAGGTTCAACTTGATCTTTGTGTTTTTTTGACCGGGGCACTTCAAGAACTTCGAAGTTCTGTGCACCCCAACACCTTCCGGCACCCCAGACCGGCACCCCTTGAGACCTTCAGACCGGATCCACGGCGGTCTTCACGCGTTGGCAAAGCCCGGAGAGTCGGAAGTCTCCGTGTGAAAATCTGTTGATCTATTTAGATGGGCAATGGCTTTTGTGGTCAACGACTGGCCACAGAGAATGTTGTTGGATCCGTGTGTCGCTCCATGTTGCAAGTGTCTACCTTGTCGAGGCAAAGATCAAGAAGTGGTGATTGACAGATTGGACCTCCAAACAGTTTAGGGTTTCTGAGGATGCAGTTCTTTCAACTGACTGAGTGTAATTATATCTGCATGGCTCCCTGTTGGAGTCCTCCCCTGGTCATCCTCTCCACTGCCGACACCGATCGGTGCCCTCACCAGCGTGCGAAGGCGGCGCGGCGCTCGCGCCGTACGCAGCTGAGAAGGGCAGGCCGTGCCTTTGCAATGGTGTGGTAAGCGCCACAATGCACGTCATCGCAGTGCCTGTGCGGGACAAGAAGCACCCAGGTGTGTGTGCTTCTCATTTTGTGTGTGTGCGTGCGCAACATTGCGCAACCATGTCTAGAAGAAGAATCCACTTGAGCCATTTTGATATGTGTTTGATCAATCCCCATCGACCCCCACCCTGTCCATCCGTCGAAATCAGAGATCCTCAGCACCGAATTCCCTTACAATCCCTTCCATCACTCAGACAGATCCACACCTGCTCCGGAAGGGGCCTCGCCGGCACCTGCGGGGCCAGGCCTGACGTGTGCGCGTGTGCGCGTGACGCGCGACGCCGCACGGACGGCCTTCGGTCGGACGTCCACGGAGCGACCGACAGAAACGATTGAACAGAAGGTAGCTTTACAAAACGACCCATTTGAGTCTCCGTGGATACAGAGAAATCCCTGGTTCAGGAGCTATGGGCCCAAGTCTCGTATTTGGTGTGGGGTTAAGCCCTGTCAAACCCTCCCAACACCGCTGGTCCAACGTGTCTTCTCTGCAAAAAACCGCCCGTCCGCAGCCCGTCGCGGACGCCTGCTGCCATGGTTGCACTTGCCCAGTGGATCGGTGGCCTCGTTGCGGCCGTTGACCACCCGGGCCACGAGAGGAGTCGGGAAGTGCCGTTCGAGCTCGCTGTTGAACCCATTGGATCACGCGTGAATGCTATTGGCTATTGGCTGCGAGTGTCTCCTGATTGCAAGAGACCCATTTCTATCAATTTCTGAAGTGTTCTCGCTGAACAGCAAAATAGGTACAAGCTCTAGTTGATGTGGATTGTTTCATCTCCTTTTTACTTCAATATATACAGTATACGATTACATACTTCTTACTCCAATAAAGGTTGAAGTAGTCACTGAGTTCAAGCCTGTCTCAACAAACCTTCCAAGCTGTCCAAGCTACTCGCCAAGCCTACCTCAGTTCTTGCCATTTCTCGGAGTGGTCGAGTTCACTCTCCCAAACCATCCGAAATCGCCTGCGTCATCCGATCGAGCACCTGACCACTGTCGGCCGACCACATCGAGAGACGTGGGAGGTGGGCCCCATGGGCTCGAGAATTGAGTCATGGGTGAAATCGTGAACCAAGTGAAGTGAACACCACCGAGATTAACTGATTGAGCCAGGGTTGAAATGTGGTGAAATCCCCTTGCCTGGGCAGGAGCCAAGGGCCCGTCCAAATAAATAGACTCGATGGCATCACAAAGGATGAAGACGCGCACCCGCCCCACCCTGCCATGTATAAGACGCGTACCCTCTACGCATTAGCCGCATTAGCCTTTGGAAGGTGCTGATTAATTGGTCAAACACTGATCACAAATGCTTCAGGATACCGTGTGATTCTCGTTGATTGCCCGAGCTTGCTGAAACATCAAACCCAAAGCTCCTAGTAGTTTCTTGTTCCTAGTAGTAAGGCCAGGAGCCCCTAATAGCGTCCTTGCTCCTAGTAGCGATGCCAGGAGCCCCTAGTAGCCGGTGGTCAAGTTCCTTCTTATGGGACTTATGGGGGTCAGTCTTCAAACAGGCTGCCCCTCAAACAGGGTGGTAGCTTCCGTTCCAACAATCGGAACGCTCACGCACCAGAAGCAGGGGCATCCAGCATTCATCAATGGAGGAGGTGCTGAATGCCCCGGTGCCCCAAGGTTTCTGCTTCAATAACGGCTCACGGCGAGCCTGCAGCATTGCCACCACCTAGACCTCACGGCCCTCTCAATGAGATCACGGGTCAAATGCAGAAGCGGCAGCACAAATTTCCTGCAGGGTAAGGGCAGGTCGTGTAGGGCAGCCCGTTAACCGGCGCATGAAGGGCTCTGGTGCCGCAGCTGTGGGCGGCGCCTGATTCCCGCTGAGGGGGCAAGGTGAAGATGCTCTTGGAGAAGCCATTGCAGCCACCAGCGGAATCATCTCCATATCCAGCCTTTCGGGGCACTGGGCGCCCGTATCCTTCCAAGACCGAATCATCCTCATTGGTCTATGCGGTCTCTGCCAAGATCTGTCTTCTAGCTGTGGCCGCCATTCGCCACCTCCCAGTTAGAGAAGGTGAAGAAGGTGGCGGTGTCAGTCCCATCCAGCAGGTCCCAATCAAAGTCGCAAAATCCAGCAACTGAAGTTCCACTCCACAGGCACCCAAAGGCGAAGAACAAAAAAGGGGTCAAGAACCGAAGTCAAGCCACCCCACTCTTCAATTGGTATGGTGGTGCCACCCCTGACTTGAGCCAAAATGGTACCCATTTTTGCTAATGAATTGTATTCAGCAAACATTACGTGCTTTAAGGCACTGCTTTCCGCACGCCTCAAGCACGTATGAACGATACTTGCACAACAAGTCCAGCGCAACACACAGCCCTGGGGTTCTGATCCACCGCACCACCGCACCACCTGGCTGCCCATGTCGCCTGCACCAGGCTGCCCAGTGGCACTCCATCCGCGGCCCAAGCGCAAGGAAGACCTACGCCGTCAGATGGAGGTCCAGTTTAGTTGGACCTGTATTTACAATATGTAAAGAATTATTTTCAAAAAACAACAACAATATAAAAATTTTATCATGTATATAGATCGAAACATATCGAAACGTTTTCTCTGTAGATAGACGCCAAATGATGCTTGCTGTGGAAACCAATCTCTTTCCACGTCCCTCTGCGCTGCGCTGCGAGGTGGTGGACTCCTCCAAGGTCCTCGGGGATCGCAGAGATCGGCCTCAAATCATCGAAGCCGAAGCCCAGTTGCCCGTGGGCGCCGTAGCCCCAGAGGTACAGCAAACCGCCTTGGCCGGAGATGGCCACGGACGCGCCCGGTGTGGTGCTGCTGGATCCAGAGATTAGCTAGCAGAACTATATACAACCAACATCAACCAACACTGTGCTGCAGTCCTCACCCCCACCTCAGATCGAACGGACTGGATCCCAAATCCCCAGTCGAGAGAGTTCAGTGCCGATCGTCCGCACACTCCCCTCCGGTCCGCTCGGCTCCAGTCCGCTTCCACCCAGCTGCTGTCTGTGATGCAGGCCGTATGTGAAAAGCCTGCTGACACCTGGCGGGACAAACGATCACAACCTTCCAAGACCTATAGAAGACATGCTACTGATGTTACTCTCCCAGCCTCGGGCAATAGTGATACTGTAGACTCTTGCTGCTTGAATAAGATGCTATATGCCCAATGGCTCATCACTGAATCCATATACCACGTGATTTCTCAGTTCTTGTGCACCTTCCGCACATTCGACGGCAGCCTGGATAATGGTTGAATTGTGATACAATGGCACACAAGTTGATCTACAGTAGTTATACTGCAGTACAATGACTATACCCCTTCCTTCCGTTCCTTCTTCCACGTTCATCCCTTCCTTCTTCTCGGTGACCGACACCGATGTGGGGTGATGCTCTCCGGTCCAACTTCGGTCTAACTGCACAGCTCGTCGGGCCGACGAGACTCGGCGATGTCAAACCCCTGGACCACCTGGACCACCTTCACCGCTGCCAGCGCGTCCACCGGCTTGGGCGTGGCGGCGCCCCGCACGGCGGCGCCCAAACCCAACTCGCCTGGGTGGCCGGGTGTCGGAGCAGCGCAGCAAGGAAGCAGAACACATGAGGCGTTCGTGAGGATCATCATTCAGTTTCCTGCACCTGTCTTTTTCTAGCGGACGAAAGTAGGCGTTCGTAAACATTGGCTGGTGGCTGCGAGAGAAAC